ATCAAAATTAAAAACTTGTGCTTCAGAGGACAACATCTATAAAGTAAGACAACTCACAGAATGGGAGGAAATTTTTACAAATTACTTGGTAGAGGATAGAATATACAAATAACTTGCATAACTCCATAATAAAGGACAACCTGATTTTTAGAATGGGTAAAGACTATGAGTAGACATTCTTCAAAGGAGATCTACAAAGGGCCTGTAAACACCAGAATATATGTTGGACTTTAGCCATCTGGGAAATGCAAATCAAAACCACAATGAGATATCACTTTATACCCACTAGGGATGGCTATAGTAAAAAAGATGTGTTAACAAGAATGTGGAGAAGTTGGAATCCTTATACATTGGTGATGAGAATGGAAATCCTGGAAACCAGCCTGGTGGTTCTTCAAAGGGTTAAAGAGAGTTACCAAATGACCCAGCAGTTCTACTGACAGGCATATACCCAAGAGAAATAGAAACATGTCAGTGCGAAAACTTGTACACAAATGTCATAGCAACATAATAGCTAAAAAGTGAAAAAGACCCACTAATGAATGATAAAAATGTGCCGTATTCATACAGTAGGTCACATGGTAAATGTATATTTTACTTGATAACGATCTCCTAGAACTTTTTTTGCCACATGACTATACCGCTTTGCATTTCAACCAGTAATGTATGAAACTTCCTGTTGCTCTGCTTCTGCCCTGGTATTTGGTTTTGTTTGAATTAGCCATTGAAATTGGGCATGCATATTTCATTGTAGTTAAATTTCTTAATAGGTAATGATGAGCATCTTTTTGTAGGTTTATTTGCCATCCACGTAATTTTATTTTAAAAAATATATTTATTGATTTGAGAAGGGAAAGGGAGAGAGAAACATCAGTGATGAGAGACAATCATCCATTGTCTGCCTCCTGCACGCCCCCTACTGGGGATTGACTTTGCAACCCAGGCATGTGCCATGACAGAATCAAACCATGACCTGATTCATAGGTTGATGCTCAACCACTAAGCCATGCTGATTGGGCCCATTCACATTTTAGGTGAAATGTTCAAATCTTTTGCCTACATTTGAGAAGGTTGTTTTCTAATTGAGCATTAATTACATATTCTGCACATTAGTCTACTATCAGCTATGTTTTGCAAATATTTTTTCCTAGTCTAGGGCTTTTCTAACATGTGCTTTGAAGATCAGACATTAATTTCGTTAAGTCCAATTTATTGATTTTTTTCTTAGTTTCATATCTAAGAAATCTAACTCAAGGTCACTTTTTTCCCCCTGTTTTCTAGACATTTTGTAGTTTTAGGGTTTACATTTAGATTATAATCCATTTTAAGCTAATTTTGGTGTGTCATATAAATTGTTTGGATGTTCACATATGGATATCCCAGTACCAATGGTACTAGTTGTACCTGTCTATGTAAATTTTATAGTCAACTAGTTGAATTTTACAAAAATTCCTTCTAAGATTTTGACAAGATATGTTGAATCCATAGATTAATTTAGGGAGAAATTTAATAATGAATGTTCCAATCCATAAACATGGTATCTCTTTTTTTAAGGCATTTTATTATTAGAAATCAGTGTTTCCTACATTTCACATACAGACTTTGCACATATTTTTTGTTACATTTCATGTTTTGTGGTGCTGCTATAAATGGTCATTTTAAAATCTGTTTTTAAATGTTGATTGCTACTGTATACAAATACACTTAAGCATACTGACCTTGTTAGTCCTGGTGCTTTTTAAAAAAAGATTGACTTTCCTATATTGGTGTTCACATCATCCACAAATAGGTATTATCTTATTCATTTTCAATCTGTGGCCTTCCCCCTTATTGTTCAGTGACCTCTAAGACAATGTGGAATAGGAGTGCCTTGTTCCCAATGTTAGGGGGGAAACATTGTTTTCACCATTTATATATTACCTGTAGGCCTTTTTGTGAAAAAATTTTTACCAGGTTTAGGCTCCCTGATATTCCCCATTTGCTGAAAGTTGTGTTTTTATAACCATAAATAAATAGAATTTTGACATGAAATTTTTTTGAGAAAAAAAATATTGAGATGTAATTTACATACCATAATAGTCATCCTTTTAAAGCATACAATTCAGTATACTCAAAAGGTCGTTTTCTGCAACTTTTGAGATAATCTCATAGCTTTTGCATGTAGATATAGAACATTGACTTTTTTTAAAGTTACCTAACATTGATTTGGCGAGGGGGAGGCCATCCTTTTTATTCCTGGGATAAAACCAACCTGGTCATGATGTATGTTTATATGTTTCCAGATTATATTTGCTAATATAATAAATTAGTTATTAAAGTCTGTGACCTTATAATAAGCATTATCCTGAATATATGAATTTTATTGTTTTTGATAAAAACTAAAGTGCCTTAAATGTAATGCTTTGATAAAACTAACAATTTTTAAAGTTTTTTAAACCTTATAACTTAAAATACTTGTCTTGGCCAGTGTTGTTCAGTAGTTGAGCATTGACCCATGAACCAGGAGGTCAGGTTCATTCCCAATCAGGACACCTGCCTGGGTTACAGGCTTGATCCCCAGTGAGGGCATACTGGAGGCAGCCAATCAGTGATTCTCATTGATATTTCTATCCCTCTCCCCCTGTGAAATCAACAACAAAAGAAGGAAATTCACCCTAACAACAAAAAAAATTTTAAGTAATTTACATAAAACTACATAATAGAAAATAACTATAATACTCAAGGTTTTTCTAGTGATTGGCTTTTCTCTGGGTTGATGCAACAAAATTCCTATATGAAATGCTGAAGGGATGCAATATGATCATAGGTATGGCAGGAGGTCCTGGTTTAAACCTGTATTTACATAAGCATTCTCTTAGCTACCAAACTATAAAATAGAAGGCTTCTAAAGGTATTTTTATTTACCTTTTACATTAGAATTGAGCGAAAGTCAGTTATCCGTATCAAATGATGGGGATGCTAAGGCAGTAGTCTTCCCACAAGTGGTTGCTCTATTTTATTACCAGTAACAAGGTTCTGGGTTCCCATATAGTCCAAAGACCAGACCTGCAAGTTGCTTTTCATTCTTGTAGGAAGGTGCTTACCATAGGAATATCAAACTTAAGAAGGAAAGGAGTAAGATTGAGTTTCTGCCCTTTAAAAAAATGCCCTCACCGATTTGGCTCTGGTTAGAGCATCAGCCCTGCTCCGACTGAAGGGTTGTAGGTTCAATTTCAGTCAAGGGCACATACCTCCATCCCCCTCCCTGGTCCATCTGTGAGGGAGACAACCAATTGATGTGTTGTGTCTCCCTGTCTCTCCCACATTCTCCACTGTCTCTAAAAAACAATGGGAAAATGTCCTCTGGTGAGGTTAACAATAAACCGAGAGAAAAAAGAATGTCTCATTTCAAAGCTATTTATGTTAATGATAATTGGGCAAAATGATAGTTTTGGTTTTTAGTTGTGCTTTCAAAAGTAATGTTAAATTTACCTGAAGTCAGGTATGTTTAAAAGGTTTGCATGTTAAATGGTTAAAAGTGGTGTTATTAAAGAAAAAGTGCAAAATCTTTTTTTTACAGAATAGTATAAATGTTTATTTTTTGTATGATTTACTTTGCTGTCATGTTTTTACAATATAGAAAAGTGTACTCTTTGAATAGCTCTAGTAAATATAAATTTAATTCTTTCTACTTTGGGATGTAAATAGAGCTAAAAAATTATATACCCAAACCTCCCCAAACAGTATTTTAAAATTGTTGAATTAATGTGGATATTAATCTTATTCAGCAATTTGATGCAAATGCCTAAATACAAAAAGTTGTTTAGTAAGTACTACACACAAAGGAAAAAGGCTTAATATTTTAGCTTCTTGAAGATCAGTAAAACTAGTAGTATTTGATTGCACCTTCAAATTTTTACAAGCAAAACATTCTCAAGCAATATCATCATACATAATCTATAATTGTAACCCAAATTTCACAAACATTTTCTGCACACTGTATATAAATACACATCACAAAGGTGCAATTAGAATTGAACACAGAATATGTACAAAAATGAACAAAGTTTATGTTTAGACCAAAAAGGTATTGTAATCTTTTGAAAAATAACTTGATTAGATATTTTATCCTTACACTAATTTACATTTATACAAATTTTAATTAAACATACTAGATAGAGGTGCTAAGAATGTTTGCATTATCTACATTTAAAGTTTACTGCACTATAATTTTATAAATCCAAATTTAAATATATACTTCAATGAATAACGGACTCTTGGATTACTTAATTTCTATTGCCTATATCTTGTGTGTTCATATGAACATATATACACAATTAATATATACAACTATAGATTTCCTGTAGGAAATGTAATCACATACTAGTAATTATTGAGGATTAAGGTACCTAACAAATGCCTGAATTCCAACATGGTTTTTCTTGTCATAAAATCAGAGGCCTGTTATAACAGGCTCTTAAATTCATAAAGCTGTTGAATTCTGAAAGTAATTTAGGTTACTTTAGTAATTATATGAAAACATACCTTCAGTGTACAAATCACTGGCTAAAAATAATGCCATATTAAGCTTCCCTTATAAAAAAATACCTACTACAATTTTGAAAGCTTTGTTAGGAGTCCCATTTCAGTAAATTAACTCTCATACTGGTTTGAAACCTCTTAAATCAAAAGTCTATAAAGAGAACTGCTTATACAGATGAAAAATCCTTCCCTACATTCATTTCTTAGAACTTCAATATTCTTTATTTCTCCATCAAATTCAACTTTTATACCTGATTATTATATAAAGTTCTATTTTACCACTACCTAATGCTTAGCTTCTATGTATAGGAGCCTTTCATGTTAATGGTACCCAGTAATCACCTTGATAATTTATTTCAAATACATACCACTTCCTTGAAAGAAAATGAAAAAAACATCCCAGAGCACTTCTTAGTCACTTCTTATTATAAAAACACATTGCCCATCCTTTGAGAATTAATCTATTATCCCTTAATGTCTTAAAAAAACAAAATAACTTTATTTTAAAAGTGTGCCTATGGATTACTTCCCCTTCTGACATTCCCAAAATGACAATAGGATATTATTCCAGAATCCATCCTAAAAAGTTGATTTTTCTTTAAAAATATAGTACTTTTTAAAACATCATTGAAATATGTTTCATAAGAACTTGTTTATGTAGACGTTCTATCTGCTGATAGTCTAGTACCAGAGAATGACTGGGAAATACCAATGCTGCTTTGGCTTTTTCTACTGAACAAAGTCATACAACGCCATACATTATAAATTATAGTAATTTATAAATGTTCTTTGTCAATAGAGTCAGGCTAGAACATCTAATTCTTAAGAAACACAAGCAAATTAAAAATCTATATAATACAATAAAGAAAAATTCAATTTAGAAGGCATAAGCAGATTTAACTAAGATTTAAAATGTACTAATTTCCTCATTTAAAAATTTCTTCTCAATATTATAATTTCAGGTCTCATAAGGACTGAATTAACAATGCAATAATTGTTAAACCATCTTCCAGAAAATCCAGTGTCCCTGCACCTTCAATTTTCTGTACAGTTCTATTTATCAGTCTTTTGCACAAGAGTTAGCAATTCATAGCACAAGGGTCACTTTTTGCTTTTCCTGCAGAGTTGATAACGCTCATCAAACATCGTCCGAATTCTTCAAGTATCATCCGTTCAGCTGCTGCCTTTGATTTTCCCTTCTTGTCTGCCTGCTCAGCCTGGGCAAGAAGGCAATTACACGTGGCTTCAGCTACTTCCTTAGTTACAAATGTAAATGGCAATCTGAAATGATGTAGAGAAAGAGAGATGATGGGGTGCTGAATAACTTCAAAAATGGGTGGCGCTGTTTCATATGGAAATCTGTTGACATTTTCATGATTCACCAACATACTCAGTATCACATTTACGCAATGAGCACAGCACATCTTAAAGAGCTATAAACAGTTAGGCCTGGTTTTATGATTGAGCATATTTGAAAAACAGTGTTCGGAAAATGTAACATTTTACATAAAATATGTCTTATTACCTAGACAAAGTTATCTACTTAACTAAAAGATGTAATTCTACATGCTGACTTGGTATTTCTATTATATAACAAAAGTCCTCCTGATTCATAAATGTAAAGTCCATGAGTGTAGTCTTTGTTTTATTTACTGCTGTTTCTTTACTGTATAGAAGTGTCTGGCACAGAGACACTTCAAAAATATTTGCTGAATGAAAAGATGAGTTATTGGGAATCGAAAGCACTATCTCCTGGAAAACACTAAAAGTACTTTTGCATATTTCCACATATTTATTTCTTTTAAAAACCAAGCACCCCAAAATTTTGCATCGTTCTATCACAATAAACAAAACAAAGGGAAAACAAATGCTGCTCATACATGGAGTTTTATTCATAAAGATCTGAACTACTGAGTTCTGAATTAGAGCAATCCATCCTGAGGCTTACGATATGTAGTCAAGTGTTAAAAGCCTTCAGGAGACAAAACATTAGAAAATATTATGTTAATATTACAATATTGTATAACTAGTAATACTGTGTAATTATAGTGCTCAGATCATATTTGGAAATTAGAAAAATAAAAGGAAAGAAAAATTCAAACTTTTGCCATTCAAAGGCAAATGTTACATGTTGGTATAATATTTTTTAATAGTTGTTTTTACATAGACTTGATTACAGTATATTATTTTGTATTCTTTTACACTTCTTAAAGTAAATATTTCTTCATGGCAATGGATTGAAAAATTAATTATAAATATTTGAGTGTAGCAATATCTTTTATCTCCATATGGAGATAGATTCTGAAGGGTTATTGGAAGATGACCAGAAAGGATCCCTTATTGAGATGTCAACCCATTTCCACTTTATTCTGTGAAGAACCATTTGCTGATTATTACAGTTGTAAAAGTTCTTTAGAATAGCTGAAATGTGTTGTATAAAAAAAGTCTTACTTTTGTAAGTATCAGATCCTATTTCAACTTAGACATTTTTTAAATTATATACCATTTGCAAGGGTCACTGTATTTAATAATTCCTCAAATTAACTTCTAACAAACTAATATAAATCTAAGTCAGTAAACTTGTAGAATCAGACCCTGCCAAACACTGCAACAGAGATGCTTTTCTCCTCATAGTCTGTCATGAGGGTGATTTGAAGGCTAAGAAAACAGGCTCAGAGATGAAGTTCTTGTTGAATTCACACACTACTACAGAGCACAGATATTTAAATTCAGGTCGCCCTGACTTGAAATGAAGCTCCAGCTTTTCTACGCCAGAGCTTGGCAGTCTAATGAAATAAGGAGCTACAGTAATATAGTGTTTGGCGCCAAGAGGGCACAGAAAAGAAAAAGCAAGAGAAGGTAATGTGGATGAAACTAAACCTGGCCAGCTCAGGGGAGACCTGCATGACGGCCTCACAAACTAACGTAACCTCATAGGATGACTTGAAATTAAAACTTTCTAAGAGCTAGTCAATGGAGGGTAGTCCTGGGCCGGTATCTTTCTTGACAAAGATCAATCTTGACCTTAACTGAGCCATTCTATTGTCTTTTTGCATTAATGATAACCTTTGGAATGTCAGGGTAATTTGTTTTATCTTTAATCCAATCCCAGAGATTTCCCTACTTTACTTTTTCCCATTTCCCTAATCTATCACCAATGAATTTCATAACTCCCTTATGCCTTCTCCTTTGATTGTAATACATAAAATAAGGCGTAAAACTACCAATCTCTGAAGCATTTTCTCAATCCATTGAGACTTTGCTTCCCAGTAATTTTCCTTAGTTTGGCTCAAATAAACTCCTAAAAATTCTTACAGGTCTGGACATTTTCTACGATGACAGTAAGAAAGTGCAAAAATATAGAAAATTACACAACCAGTTAGAGTTATGAAAACTCTGATTTTCTTAGAGGTTTGTCAAATTATATAATCACTTATCTTAGTAGGGAGAAAACCAATGAAGTTAAAGCCAAGTGAACTAAAGCATTACTGCATTTTAGAACTGTGCAATGTGTCTATAGCAGTTTTTCTGTTGCCTTTAAATTCCTTTACAATAAGTAAAAGATAGCAAGAAAATGTAAAAATCAGATTTGCAACAACCAAGTATGAACTCAATTTTGTCCAAAAGGAGAAACTTAAACAAAAATGAATATTCATGTCACATTATAAAGAGATTAAACTATTAACTTACTTTCCTCCTCCGCTACTCAAAGCTGGTGTTGGCCTAGTAAGCAAGTCTGAAATCTGAGAGGATAACTTGGTCTTCGCCGCTGTTTGCTGCTGCACCCTCACTTCAGCTGCATCTGCCAGGTGCATCAATGTCTTTCTTTCTGGGCTTTCTTCGAAATTCTTACAGCCGATGCATTTGCATATTGAGGAACACATTATTTTTGCCTAGAAGATATACAAAAGAAAAGCTCCCATATCAAAACCAAAATAAGTTACTATAGACTCCCTGATAAAATCAACAGATAACTAACTGGTCAACTGGCATAAAGATAAAATGGAAACATCTCTTGCTGACAAACACCAAAAGGGCTAACTACTCATGTGTATTCTTTTTTTTTTCTTTTTTTTTAATATATTTTATTGATTTTTTACACAGAGGAAGGGAGAGAGATAGAGAGCTAGAAACATCGATGAGAGAGAAACACCGACCAGCTGCCTCTTGCACACCATCTACCGGGGATGTGCCCGCAACCAATGTACATGCCCTTGACCGAAATCGAACCTGGGACCTTTCAGTCCACAGACGGACGCTCTACCATTTCCCTAAATGATAGAGCGTCGGTCTGTGAGCCGAAGCCGGTTTGGCTCCACTCTGAGCCAAACCGGCTTCGGCTCATGTGTATTCTTAAATCTGAGAGTGACTATGCAATGTTTGTGTTTAAGTTCATTTCCCATCCCTTCCCCCCCCACAGATTTTCCTCCTGGTATGAAAAACATGTTCTTTATAAAGAATATGAATGATTCATTATAATATTAAAGGGTCATCCAGAATCGAACCGCCTCCATCAAGTAATCATTAACATGTTAGTGACCTCCCATTTATGCAAACACACAATATCACATGAAAAGGATTTCATAGTTGCTGTTTTTATTATGAATATCTCCATCCCTGAACTCCCTTAATAGCCCATATTAATTCATAAAAAGTATATAAAATACATGTATATTTATGAAAAAACATAGATCTTATGTACATATACTACCTCACAAATCCTAAAGTATTTTTCATTTTTTAGTTTGATGGACAATAAAATACATGGACTGAAAAGAGGCCACATGCTAATGTGACAAGCTCAGGGAAGGCCATAGAATGGTCTGAAATGAAAACTTAAAAAAAAAATTATCTCTTTTATTGATTTCAGAGAGGAAGGAAGAGGAAGAGAGAGAAATATCAATGATGAAAATCTGTCTCCTGCACACCCTCCCTGGGGATGGAGCCCACAACCCAGGCATGTGCCCTTATGAGGAATCAAACTGTGACCTCCTGATTCACAGGTAAATATTCAACCACTAAGTCACACTGGTCTGGCTGAAATGAAAAAATTTTTAACAAAAAGCAGTTTATATGGCAGGTAATCATGTCCTAGGCTAGAATCTTGCCTGACAAAAGTCAATCTTTACCTCAACTGAGCTTTACTCGTTTTTGCATCATAACATATCTTTGGAAAGTCAGGGTAACTTGCCTTTTTTTTCTGGACCCTTTAGAGCACAATCTATGCACCAGAGCAGAGACTACAAATCCTCTCATTTTTATCGTGTTAACTGCTGACTATTAACTATCCTGTATCCTCCTATGTAAAAGATGTATACATCTATCACTTTTAAAATATATATAGTTAGAAATATCAATGATGAGAGAGAATCACTGATTGGTTGCCTCCTGCACACTCCCTGCTGGCTTTCGAGCCCACAACCCAGGCATGTGCCCTGACCAGGAATCAAACTGTGATCTCCTGGCTCCCATAGGTCAATGTTCAACCATTGAGCCACCGCAGCTGGACTATGTCTATCATTTTACTTTCTATCCAATCCCAGAGGTTTCCCCAGTTTTGCTTTCTCTGGCCTCCCTAATTTATCACCAATGAATTTCACTTACATCTTCTCTTTTAATTGTATAAAATAAGGTAAAAAACAAACAAAAACCTGCCATTCTCTGAAGCATTAAATCTCAATCTGTTGAGATTTTGCTCCCCGGCATAGTTGACAGTTTGACTTGAATAAACTCACAAAAATTCTTCAGAGGTTTGAATGTTTCTTAAAATATATTTTACTGATTTTTTTACAGAGAGGAAGGGAGAGGGATAGAGAGTTAGAAACACTGCTGAGAGAGAAACATCGATCAGCTGCCTCCTGCACACTCTCTAAAGAGTATGTGCCCACAACCAAGGTACATGCCCTTGACCAGAATCGAACCTGGTACCCTTGAGCCTGCAGGCTGAGGCTTTATTCACTGAGCCAAACCTATGAGGGCGTTTGAATGTTTCTTATGTTGATGGATAGATTTCTAGACTTGGGCTCACTGGTAAAAGGGTATATATATTTTAATTTTAATAGATGTGGACAGATTGTTCTTTCAAAAAGCTATGATACCATACCTCATCACAAATGTATAAAAAAATACTTTCTTACATTCCCTTCAACAACGTATATTATTGCTCCTTTTAATATTTACCAATCTGATTGGAGGAAAATAAAATGAAATCTTACTGTTCTTTAATTTACATTTTGCAGACTCCTAGTAAATTTAAGTATCTTATTGGCTGCATTTTCTTCAGTGAACCCATGTCAATTTAAATATCAAATTTTCTCCATAATACATAGCATGATAAACAGATCATACTATGAACATTTATCCTGCTTCTTTCTTACAAAACACTAATAAATTCCATTTACCAAAGGAAAAAAAATTGATATAAATTTTGAGTTAATTGGGTTACTATGGGCCAGTTTGGGATGGAGTATCTAATGATGAAGAAATAAAATCTCTGTAGGGATAGGGGCATAGACATACCAATAAGGTACATTTGGATTGGGTTTTCGTTTTAAGAACCTTAAGAAAGGTACTAATACTTAACAGAAATTCAGGAGGGAGAAATTAGACTGATAAGGCAGCCATCTGGCTTTGTTAATTCAACTTATTTTGGGTTAAAGAGAGAAGATAGAATAAAAAGGTCACAAGAAAAGGTACAACCATTTAAGTAATGTGGACAGTCAATCATTCTATCAACAAGTTCTGTGAAAGGAATATAAATGATATCTAGATGCAGACCAACTAGACCAAAAGAAAACAATTCAATTCAAAAGTCTAATAATTCAACACAAACTGTCAGACATCGCAGCTAATTCATAGTGTCAGCCACTGCTAGTCAAAGTTTAATGGATTCCAAGTTTTTCTATTTCTTAGTCATTCAGGACAAAAAATTAATGTCCTGAATGTCAAGGATCTATACTAATAAAAGAGTAATATGCTAATTAGGCTGGGAAACTATACATCTTCCAGTCCTGCCTTCCTTTGGGACAAAGCACAGAGGCAGGGGCTGAGGCAGAAGTGGTTAGGGGCAATCAGGCCAGCAGGGAAGGGCAGTTAGGAGTGATTAGGTAGGCAGGGGAGGGCAGTTAGGGTGATCATGACAGCAGGGGAGAGCAGCTAAGGGCGATCAGGCTGGCAGGGGGGACAGTTAGGGACGATCAGGCCATCAGGCAAGTGAGCGATTAGGAGCCAGGAGACCTGGATTGCGAGAGGGATGCCTGAGGAGTTCGATTGGAGAGGGTGCAGGCCGGGCTAACGGACCCTCCCCCACGCACGAATTTTGTGCACCAGGCCTCAAGTTTCACTGTAATAGACTAGAGGCCCGGTGCACAAATTCATGCACTGGTGAATTCCCTTGGCCTGGCTGGCAAATAGGGCCAATTGGGACTGTCTCTCCTAGTCCCAATTGGGGCCAATGGGGACCGGCCAACCAGCCGGGGAGAGACTGTGAGAGGGCTCCAGGGCGTGTGTGGTCCATCTCACCCAGTCCTGATCGACCAACCCCAGCAACAAGCTAACCTACAGGTCAGAGCATCTGCCCCCTGGTGGAATCATAGCAACTGGTGGAATGGTGGAACGAACAGTCGGACACTTAGCATATTACGCTATCAGTATATAGGATAGGGAAGCTTTCTCTCTTCTAACATATTTCAACCAGTCTATTGCCTTTTCTACTTTGATTGATTTACAGATTTGCTAAACAATTCAATTAAATGATTAGTTCATATCTTTCCAAATAGCATGTATTGATTGTTCACTGACACACCAACAAAAGGGTTTCTTTGTCTTTCTGACCTAGCTTTACATCAATTTCCATTTTCTCTCTTTTTGTGGACTTGGTTTTATGGCTTACAATTTTACATATTCAAGATAATTTTTATGTGATATGGTTTACTAGCAGAAGCCTATTTGATCGGGTGTTCAAACAACAAATAATAGAGTCAAGCCCAGCCAGTGTGGCCCAGTGGCTAAACTTTGAACCATGAACCAGGAGGTCACAGTTCAATTCCCAGTCAGGACACAATGCCTGTGTTGTAGACTTGATCCACAGTAGGAGGCAGCGAATCAATGATTCTCTCTCATCATTGATGTTTCTCTCTAATATCAATAAAAACATAAAATAAAATTTAAAAAGTCAATCTCTTCCAACACCAAATGAAAATCTGGCTTGTTGGACTCAAGATTTTAAGAGACTTTAAAAAACAATCTTGATTATATGCTATTTTCACTCACACTGGTTTTAGGACTAACAAAATTTACTTTCCTATATTTCCTGAGTGATATTTTTGACCTACGCAATGCATAAATGAGGAATTCAGTACACAAACCTTTTTTTAAAAAATCTATGTTTTTTAAATTGATTTTTAGAGAAAGAGGAAGTTGAGGAGATAGATATCAATGATGAGAGAGAATCATCAATTGTCTGCCTCCTGCACACCCCCTATTATAGATCAAGCCCAAAACCCAGGCATGTGCCCTGATCAGAAGTCAAACCAGTGACCTTTGGTTGCATGGGACAGTGCTCACCAAGTGAACCACACTGTCCAGAGCAGTACACAAATCTTGCATACTCTTGGAATATAGCAGACATTATTAGGGGAGAGTGCAATCTTGGTGGTATTACCTGACCAAGTGCAAGGCCTTCTGTCAAAACTAAAAATATAGTGAAATTTGAAAGTATAAAAATATACCAGATGTGCTGAAACCGGTTTAGCTCAAAGCATCGGCCTGTGGACTGAAGGATCCCAGGTTCGATTCCAGTCAAGGGCATGTACGTTGGTTGCAGGCACACATCCCCAGTGGGGTTGTGCAGGAGGCAGCTGATCAATGTTTCTCTCTCATCGATGTTTCTAACTCTCTGTCCCTTTCCTTTCCTCTCTTTAAAAAACAGTAAAATATGTGTGTATGTGTGTGTGAGTGTGTGTGTGTGTATCCAAAGATTCCTATTAAAGAGTTTCAGGTGCACCAAGAAACCAATTACAGACCTGGCCAGATGGCTGGGTTGGTTGGAGCATCGTCTAAGACACCAAAAGTTTGCAGGATCAATTCTTGGGCAGGGCATATACCTAAGCTGCTGGTTCGATCCCCAGTGGAGGCACAAACAGGAGGCAACCAATCAATGTTTCTCTTTCATATTGATGTTTCTCACTCTCTCTAACAAAGAAAAAAAATAAATAAATAAAGGGAGGGAGGGAGAAAAGAATGGAGGGAAGAAGGGAAAGAGAAACTAATCTTGGCATGATTTGATTCTTGTATTAAACCTTTGAAAAGAAAAATAATAAACTATATGGTACTTTCTTTGAAGCAGGAGGATGGTTTACATGGCATCTATCAAAGAAGAGTTTCAATTACATTCTTCAGAAAAGATGCCTGGGTCCTGGCTGGGTGGCTCATTTGGTTGGAGTGTCTTCCCATGCACCTAAAAATGGTGGCTCCATCCCATTGGGGAATATGTGGGAGGTAATGGATGGACGTTTCCCCTCCCTCTCATCTCTCCCTTCCTTCCTCCCTTCCTCTTTTTTTTTTTTTAAACATATTTTATTAATTTTTTACAGAGAGGAAGAGAGCAGGATAGAGAGCTAGAAACATCGATGAGAGAGAATCATCGATCAGCTGCCTCTTGCACACCCCCCACCAGGGATGTGCCCGCAACCAGGTACATGCCCTTGCCTGGAATCGAACCCAGGACCCTTCAGTCCGCAGGCCGACGCTCTATCCACTGAGCCAAACCGGTCCCGGCCTCCCTTCCTCTTTCTATAAAAGTCAATAAAAACATATCCTTGGTTGAGGATAAAAAAAAAAAAAAAGATTCCTGATTCATAAATAAAAACAGCCAGTAAAAACAGATGCAATCACTTCACAATGACCTATTTTACATTCCTCCTTTCCTGTTTTTATGTTAACAAAGCAAACTTCTTAACGTAATTTACTTTTCAATAGAGTAGTGTTCTTCAACAGTGCACTATTGACACTTGGTCAAAATAAATCTTTATTTTCAGGACTATACCCTGAAATGCAGGCTATTTTGTACCTATATATATTCCAAAAAGCCCACGGGGACAGACTAGGTAGTACTGACCTTCAGCTGAGAACCACTATAGAGTTTCCAATCCACTCTGATGTTATTTTTATTGACAATCAATAAACTGGTGCTCTGACTTGCATACTTTCGTGTATAGTGATCAAGAAGTTATCAACTGGTAAAGCAGCTAATGAGATCCCAAGCTGTGATGACAAAACTAAGGCACAGGCATACCTTACAGATATTGCAAATTTGGTTCCAGACCACTGCAAGCCAGTTATAATCTTTTTCTTGTGGACTGTTTTGCCTTTAATTTGTAAAAAACAAAAACAAAAACAAAAAAACACACCACAAAACCCTCAACATCTGTGAAGCACAGTAAAGCTAGGTGCAATAAAACGAGGTAGGCCTGTTTTGCTCTCTCAGCCTTGCTTGGGAGGCCAGAAGTTCTTCCTCAAATGAGGGCCTTTGGGCCAACTCTGCATATTTTCAAATTGCAATAGCAAAGTAATCTCTCAATTTTCCATTGAAGTTTTATAGTATGCTCTTTCTAATGTGATTTTTCAAAAGATGGCTACATTATTTTCCCCAGCCAGCATCTCACCTCATAGCATTCACAGTAGTTTTTAAGACATCCTGAGCGTTTGCAATTACATCCTTTGCTGTGACGTCGATCTGATTCTCCCTCCTTTCCTTTTCCTATTTTAGGCTTAAAAGCTTCTGGATTTCTGTCAAGGCATGCCTATCAAAACAGAGCACATACCGACTGATGTTAAATCACAGGAAATTAAAATTTAAATACTGCAAAGGGGAATTAATTTTCCTTGTAAAACAGAGTTCCACATAAAACAGGTGAAAAATAAATTTTTGTTAAATGAAATAAAAAATAATCACCTTTATTGCCTTTTGTCTTTCATTTTCATGTTCCAAATTATTATAACAATTAGTACAATTGCAGTTGTTGCAAAATTCACCATTTGCAAAGCAATCACAATATCTGCAATATAAAAGTTGGTGTAAGTTATATTTAAAAAGTCATTGTTAAAATAAACGAAACTATGAATTATCTGATTTAATAGCATTATATACATGAAAAAACATTTTAGAAATGTAGTCACAGCTACCTAGGTGTTAACATATATTATCAACTACATGATAAAGCTCAAAATTAAAATCACTGGCTCCTAGAATTTTACTTTAGAAGCTTAGTTTCAGTAATAACAGCTGTCAACACTACAGCTACATGATTTTGTATGCCCCCTAAGTAAGTTATTTCAAAAATCACAAAAAAGGAGAAATAAGAATTATATTGTTAGTGGAACCTGCTTGCTTGAACTACTGCTTTGCTCTTTGGATTCTAACTCCCACATGACCAATGCTTTTCATATAATTGTTTCATGTCAAATCTCTTAGTTCAGTACTAATAGGCAAATTAATCATCCATTAATTTTAAAACTACTCAGAGTATCACCTCATTTACGAGACCAAATGACCAAGGTCATAAATAAGATCAAATTTATTATTAATGAGGGCAGAGAATATGTCTCTCTCCTGATGCTATTTCCCTAACTCCTACTCCTGTGCCTCATCTATGGTCAAGACCCTACAATTATTTTTTTCTGAATGAATGAAACAGTATTTTCACACTATCATACTCTCAAACATTCACACTTATTTGTTTCTTTAAATTACTTAGACTTATGGAATTGGTCTACAAAGAAATTTTAGTTAACTACATTTATTTTTAAAAGCATTTTTGGGTATATCAAATGAGGAAACAGTAGCAAAAAAGACTTACAATTTCAAACACAGCGATTTTGTACAATTACAGGGCTTTCTGGGTCGACTTGCAGACTCTGATGGGATTATACTATAAAGACACACAAAAAAAGATATACGTTTTAATCAGTTAAAAGTATTAAAATTAGTAAAGTCCCCGACCTGTAAATTCCGCCTAAGACAAAGCTTTAACAAATGTATAAATCTACATATATATAAAAAGCCTAACATGCAAATTGTCCCCTTGGGAGTTTGGGAGATTGGGAGTTCAAATGCTTGCTATAATGAGCACTAACCACCAAGGGGCAGTGCAGAATGAAAAAAGGCCCCAACTGGCAGCCGGGGAAGGAAGGTCTGGCAGGCAGCTGAAAGGCCCCCGATAGGCCCTGATTGCCAGCCAGGCCTATGGATCCTACCCGTGTATGAGTTTCATGCACCAGGGCTCTAGTCTTTAATAAAAGTTTGCTATGATGTTCCATTCACATTAAGTTAAAAAGCAACTTGTAAAATGAAAACAGGCAGAGAGTCAAGATATGAGGTGGGGTGGGGTGGGAGATATTAACTGACTGGTGTGGCTCAGTTGGTTTAGCATCATCCCCATGCACCAAAATGTTGTCAGTTTTATTCCTGATCAGGGCACATGCCCGTTTCAGGCTCGATCCCAGAGGGGAGCGGGGGGAGAGGGGTGTGCACTCTCACATTGGTATTTCTCTCTCTGTCTCTTCCTTCCTCTCTCTCTCAAAGTCAATAAAAAATCCTAAAAAAAAAAAAAAAAAAAAAAAAAAAAAAAAAAAAAAGGACATTAGTAATAACTTCTACAGAACATTCTACAACAAATACTCTTCCTTCAGAGAACTAAAGTTTAAGTCATTCCAAAACTTTTCAGACTTAATTACAAAAGGTAGTGAGTAGAAGAGCGTGTGGGGCTGGAATTTGGAGGGGAGGGAGAGGTAGACTAGTCCCGCTCAACACTGCAAAGGCAACAAACAACAGATTTAAAAAAATATATTAAAAAAAAGCAAGGACCCAACATAACAATTTAAAAACCAATATCCTTTAAAAAATATATTCAGGGTGGGAAAAGGAGAAAAGAGGGAGGACAAAGAAAGAATAAAGCATGTAGAAAAATTAGTATATCCAAGAAAGAGAAAGTTGGGGTTTCTTCCCCCCCCCCTCTCTTTTGATGAGCTACTAATATATTTAATACATAAAAATAAAATACATTATTCCTTGGCCCAGAAAGAAACTCATTACAGACTGATTCATTTGCCTTTCAGCATAACCATTACTGCTTGTCTTATTTTCAATTCTTATAAGTATATTTCCAGTAGGACATGATTTCACTCATCTAAGGGAAATGATGAACAACATAGACAAATGAACAAGAACAGACCCAGATATAAGGAGCCATGGGTCAGACTGTTGGACCTCAGAGGGAGGGTGGGGATAAAAGGGAGAGATCAACCAAAGGACTTTTGTGCATACATATGAGCCTAACCAGTGGTCAAGGACAACAGGGGGGTAGGGGCTTGAGTGAGGAGGGGTTGGGGGTTGCAATGGGGGGGTTGAGGACAAATATGTGATACCTTAATCAATAAAAAAAAATTTTTTAAATACATGATTCTTAAAATTTAGTTAAGTCTACCCACATATCACCAAGACCCCCCCTTCACCTCCTTGACATCATGTCTGGGAAAACTCCAGAGGCCTCCAGACTCAGCTGGAAACTCATCCTGAGAAGAAAGCTTCGTTTGTAGGGGAGAAATAAAAATACCATTATTCATACTTGGTGGCAAGACAATGTGTGGGAATGATGGTGGAGGTGGAGGGCCTCTGGGGGAGAGGAGGAACCCTTGGGTTGGTACTGATACAGAATTGGCTATGACAAAATTAGAATAGGCATCTCAAGGGATGGCCCTCAAATAAGATACATGGGAGTTCTTTTGACTATCTCACATAGCTTTAAGGGGGGGAAAATAAAATAAATGTATTCTGAAATATATATATTTAATGCTGCATTTAACCTGATCTAACAATTTAACTTACATATTTTCCAAACACTCACCCATTGAATGGAAGCCTTGCCTGGGTCTGGACACCTGATGTACCAGTAAAGTTAGAGTTGCTTGCTATAGACACGTACGAAGACTGCTGTAGCTACATATAAAGAAAGATAATTTTAGACCATATTTACAAAAATGGACAATATTCACAGGTATAATTATCAGTGAGGAGCACAAATTCATTTATTAAAAAAGAAAAAGTAGAATGAAAAATCTCAAGCAAACATACTACCTCAAGGCAGCTTTTCTAAAGATCCAAACTAATATTAGAGGTAAAAACAAAGTGAACATTTGAAAGTACAACATGGTAAAAATATAATAAATTTTTCATAGAGGAGTATCTTATTAGAATTAGAAAATTCCCTAAAAGTACTGTAATCTAGTGTAATGGCTAAAAAAATACAATGTATCTACTTATAAATAAAACTTTCTATAATGATCATTCATCACATTGCAAGTTACAGAAAATGAGAAGATACATGCACAATAATTAAGTTTCTATTTTACACTGATTTCAAACATAAAAGATATGCTAATGATAAAAATATTGAACATTAATGGTATTTTAAAATTAGCAGCCACATACCATACTCCAAAGAACATTTCATTAAAGTACAGATAGGTTTCTGTTTCTCCTCTTACAAGCTAAATAAATCAATAATTCAGTAGCTTAGAACATGGTACTAATTTGATTGACTCTTAACTTCTTAAATTGTTTTTATTGATTTTAGAGAGGAAGGGAGAGGAATAGAGAGAGACTCTGACGAGAGAGAAACATCGACTGGCTGCCTCCTGTACAGCCCCTTCTGAGGATTAAGCCCAAAACCTGGGCATGTGTCCTGGCATGAGGAACCAGTGACCTCTTGGTTCATGGGTCAATGCTCAACCACTGAACAATACCGACCGAGCAAATCTGATTGACTCTGACCTGAAAAAAGAAAACTTCTGCTTCCTAGAAGCAGTACTCCTAATCCAAGCCAGCCAACTGGGTAAATCTTTGCCTTTGAATTAAAGATTGACCAAATGAGTCTGGACAGATCACTCAAGACATGTCACCTCGAAACCCATCTAACAATCTATTTTCCAAGAATAAATCAGTGACATTATATTCATAGGTGAAGAAGAACTTTATTAGGGTCACAGTCCTTTCTGAATTTATTCGGACTCTGATAATTTTTAACTTCATCTTTTCTCTTTTATCTGTGCTAGAGGCCCGGTACACAAAATTAGTGTCCCTCAGCCCGGCCTGCATCCTCTCCAATCCGTGACTCCCGAGGGGATGTCTGACTACCACTACAGGATGGAGCCTAACCTGGCAGTCGGACATCCCTCTTGCAATCTGGAACCACTGACTCCTAACCACTCACCTGCCTGCCTGATCGCCCCTAACTGCCTCTGCTTGCCAGCTTGATCACTCCCTAACTGCCACCCTGCCAGTCTGGCTGCCTCCTAACTGCCCCGCTGCAGGCCTGGGTGTCCCCTAACTGCTCCCCTGACAACCTGGCCACCACTTAACTGCTCCTCTGCCAGCCTGGTTGCCCTAACTACCTTTGTCTCAGCCTCTGCCACCATGGCTTTGTCTGGAAGGAAGTTAGATGTCCCGTTGACCCAGTCTAATTAGCATATTACCCTTTTATTAGTATAGATGACCTTCTCATCAACCTACTCTCAGCTCCAAATTGTCTGACCTATATATTTGACTTGTGCTTTATATTTCTCAGTGCTAAAAATACACAAAAATAAACTCAGAAGTTTTCATTAACATTTCAAGATTTTGGAAAGAGCTATCTTAATACTAAGATGGTTTGAGTCATTTTCAGAATGTGACAATGCTAAATATCTTAAACCTAATATCCTTTAGGAAATGCAATGACTTCATTTTTGCCTCATACCTGAGTGACATACTGAGCTGGAAGCACTGCATAACCCACATTCCCTGTCCCTGGAGCCGGTGCCAGCACTGTTCCTGGTGGCAGGTTAGTGAGGTTTGGCTGGATCTGTGGCAGTGGGGTGGCAGGCATGATGAGCCGTTGCTGTGGCTGGCTAGTAGTAACGATTTGTGAAGCTGGATTAATTGGTTTTGGAACAACCTAAAAAAAGAAAGATCACGTAATTACAAAGATAAATTTTATAATTTTCCAATTCAGTATACATCTCTTATACTTAAATCTTAACTTTCTCCCACGGGTAAGGCAGGAAGATGGTAGCAACAAAGAAGATTAAAAAGCTGCCCAGCCAGTGTGACTTGAAGATTGAGTGTCGACCTATGAATCAGGAGGTTAAGGTTTAATTCCTAGTCAGGGCACATGCCCAAATTGTGGCCTCGATCACTGGTGGGGGGAATGCAGGAGGCAGCTGATCAATGATTCTTTTTCATCAGTGATATTTCTCTTTCTCCCTCTCCCTTACTCTTTGAAATCAATAAAATATCTATGTATATATTTTTAAAGTGGCTGGAATCAATCAACTCTAGGCTATAACTTGTAATGGAAACTGGGAAGTACGTGCTGGGGTACAAGTAGCCTCTAAAAACGATCAGACAAGCAAAGTAAAACTGGTCACCCTCGCCAGCAACTGTCCAGCCTTAGGAAATTTGAAATAGAGCACTACGCCATGTTGGCCAAGCCTGGTATCCTTACTACAGTGGCAGTGACTGAGTTGGGCACAGCATGTGAAGACTATGCACACTGCTATCACTGATCCAGGTGATTCTGCTATCATTAGAAGCATGCCAGAATAGACTGGTGAAAAGTAAGTCAGGCAAAATTTTTCTTTAATAAAACTGGCAAAAGCTTATTTTTTAAAAAATATCTTAACTTTCAATTATAAAAGTAAATTGTCTGTTTGGGAAATACAGAGAAAAGAAGTTATGTGATACTCACTTGTTTGACAGTCTGTGTAAGTGGAACCGACATCCGCACTGGAGTGGTGCTAACCACAGGCTTTGCTTTTTTAAAAAGGGGAAAAAGGGGACAATTTACTTCCATACAATAATATTTAAAACATTTAAGGTACTTAGCTCTCTCAAGATAGCCTCATGAAAGAGCTTAAAGAATTCCAACCTGCTTCTAATTTGGAGCAATCCTAAACCATCTACCAAGAAACTTTTATCAAAATTCCTTAACCCATCTACCTGGTAGCTATAGTCACTTTATAAGAGAATGTTTCTCATTTAAAACAGTCTTCTAAAAATACTTCAATGTGTATGCAGATGATGTATACATTCACTACTAAATACAGTCAGATAAAATGTTGCATAAATAGCTGCAATTCAGGAGCTTGGGTAACAATGCTATTCTGTACTATTTCTAATTGCTGTGTTTATATTCAAACCAAAGAAAATATCATTCTTGTATAAGTCATTATTTACAAAGTACCTACTAGAAGACAGTAAGGTTAAGAATATAGTATGTGTGGGCAACCTAGCTGGTTTGGCTCAGTGGATAGAGCATCTGGCCTAGGGACTGAAGGGTCCCAGGTTCAATTCCAATCACCCCTATGTTCATAGCAGCACAATTTACAATAGCTAGGATTTGGAAACAGCCTAGGTGCCCATCAGCAGATGATTGGATCCAAAAACTATGGTACATTTACACAATGGAATATTACGCAGCCATAAAAAAAAAAATTCTCATCGTTTGCAGCAACCTGGATGGAATTGGAGAACATCATGCTGAGTGAAACAAGCCAGTCAATGAAAGAGAGACACCACATGACCTCACTTATCTATGGATGATAAAGAACATTATAAACTGAAGAACCAAAAGATAGATATAGAGACAGTAAAGCAACAAGCAGACTGTCAAATTACAGTGGGGAGGTTGGGGAGATCTGGGGGAGATAAGAGATCAACCAAAGGACTTGTATACATGCATATAAGTACAACCAATGGACACGAAACTTTGGGGAGGGAGGGTATGTATGGGAGGGGGAGCATTGGTATATGTACAAAAATAATAATTTAATTAAAAATATATTATAAAAAAATAAAATAAAAAAATATATAGTTTTTTTTAAAAAAAGAATATGTGTGGGCTCATAAATTATCTGACCCTGGAGATTCAAATCCCAATTCTGCTTCTTTCCAACTACTTAAACTCTCTTTGTCTGCATCTCCATCTGCAATATGGAGATAGTTAACTCCTTTAAAAGGTATAAGGTTAAATATGTTAACTCATAAAAATTTATGAAAATATTGTCCAACAAATAGTTAAGTGCTTAATAAATGTTAGATGCCTTGTTGTTATTACTACAAACATTACTACTATATAAATGGCATTGTGGATAGCATCCCAGGAAAACTAAAGTACAAGACACCTGCTCAAAGATATTACATTAAGTAGAGCAGATTAGACAATACCCAAATAAAACAAATCCTGTTAAAAAAGGAAGTGCTGTAGGAATTCAAATGAGACAGAACATACATGTGATTGGTAGAGGATGGGAGTATGGAAAGAATGCACTGAGGACACAGTGTCCTGAGACAGGTCCAGACCAGTGGACAGATTGCAGAGAAGGCACACAGCCTGGAGGAGGACATTCCATGCAGGGGCAGAAGCATGAGAAGTGGAGCTCGATGCTGGGAAGCTGCAAAGCATTTCACAAAAATATTGGTGAATAGACCAGTTTGGTTGGAACCGAGGGTTAAAGTAGGCAAGCACAAGCAAAAAGGCAGATTGCAGGTTTTGAAGATCTTGAATGTTAAGGTAGAAGTCTGTTTTTAATTTAGTAGGCAATGAGAAATTTCTAAGAATTCTGAAGTACTACAGAAATACTATTTGGAATAGCACAAAAAGAAACTGCATTTGAAAGCAATGCGTAAAACAGAATGGAATTGCAAAAAAACAAAAACAAAAACACACACACACAAAAACAAGAAAAATTAAAAAAGAATGCAACAAATGAGGGTCTAATCTGGGGTGACAGTGCTGGAAATGGAAAGAAGAGAACAGCTGCAGAGACATGACAGAGGTGAAAGGAGCATGAATTATCCACCATTTGGATGGTAGAATTGCAGGTATAAGGGAAGAAAAGTCTTTGCTAAGCTTTCAAGTGACTGGGAAAATGACAGCTATTAAAACTAAAAATACAAGGATGAGCTGATTTAAAGGGAAAATGAAGCCTGACATAGAGAAATGCTATGGTAAAATTCAGGCCTGGCAGTACACCTATTATGTACAGGACTGGCGCTGGGCTTAAAGAAATACAATGTGTGCTATTATCACCACTTCCATAGTCTAAAAAAGGGATTTAGAAAGATAGCCGTTTTTACTTATGCAAATGATCTATCCTGGTCTGAAAGGAAAGTTGAGATAATGGGATCTAAAATGCTCTGAACTGTAAAAGAAAAAAAAGAAAAAAAGAAAGAAAGAAAAAAGAAAAAAAAGACTTCCTTTGATACAAAGGTTGGGAGAATTGATGGCTGAAGAGGAAAAGTGGAGAGTCCTGGAAGAACATTAGAGAACTCAGACCTAAAAGGGAGGGAGCAGGCCCCTGCAGCAAGGTAGCAAACCAGGAAGAAGGGGAAAGGAGGACAGTTAGTGATGATGACTGCATATCTCTGAATATACAAAAAGCCACTAGATGGTATGCTTAGCAAGGATGAATTTTAAAATACATATGAATTATCTATAATAATAAAAGCATTAATATACTAATTAGACTGGACAACCTTCCAGATGAAGCTAAGACCAGCAGCTCAGGGAAGGCAGGCATACTCTTACATGAAGAATTTCGTGCATCAGGCTTCTAGTATCTCAATTAAGTTGCTATACAAAGAGTGTATGACCATGAATTATAGAAGCAGTGACATCTGATACTGATTTGAAAGTTTCCTATTCTGTTTGATTATCCTCAGTTACTTTATCTTTTAGTAAAATTGTAATAACCACTGTTGACTGGTCTCAGCAATACTATAAGGAATTAAAAGCCTGAATTCATGCTTAGACACAGAAGAGTGGGCTCCCTGTATCACTTGTACACAGAGCAGCAATCCTGAAGCGAGTCCAACAACAAAGAACGCAAGAAGTTCCTAGTGGTCTGTGAAATAATGAGGAAGAGGTGTGTGGTTGGTCCTCAAACTCTAATGATTATTTGAAGAACAAAGGAAGGATAATTGTCCCTGCGCTTGAGCACACACAGAACTAGAAACTTTGGAATCTCTAGGGTTCCATTAGCTTGGCATCTGCATTCTGCCATTTTAACAGAAAGCTGGGGAATGAAGAAAACAGAACACTTCTAAATTACCTAGGGAGGGGGGTCATATCAATGTTCTATACCTAAGTGAGCAGACCCCATCTCTCCTTCTCTTTCACTTTAGAACAGTCTTGTTTCTACTGCAGTTTTCACAGAAGCTGACATAATCTTTTTGTTTTTAACGGGAATTCTGAACAATCTTTTAGAAAAGCCCCTTGCAAACTTCAGAAACCATACCAGCAAGTTCTTTAATTTCTTAAACTGATTTCCTCCTTCACCAAGGTGGTAGGAGATTATATCCTAAAAAGGTTGAACAAGCACTCTTTTGGTCTTTCTACAGTGCTGTCTGCCATCCAGCCAGCAATTAATAGTATGCAGCCTTTGAATACTGGTTTTTGTATGGCTTTAGTGGGAAAATGTACAAGTTGAGCCCAATTCTCTTTTGCATAAATAAATCACTCTTAGGAAATCAAGCCCTTGGAAAGACATATTGAGCTATAAACTGTCCTAATCCTTTCAAACCATTCAATTTTTGAGTAGTTAAATATGGAGAAAGGTTGAGTGTGGGTCTGTATTTCGGGTGGCAGAAAAGATTAAAAACAAACAGAAAATGGAAGGACTATAAACAAGAATACCCTCCAGAAAAAAATACAACTGAGCAAAATATCAACATATTTTAATTACTTTTTATTAGCAATTACAGACTCAAAATAAGAATGAAAGTGACATACATTTTTACTTATCATTTATACCTTGCCTACTGATCATTTCAACTGACCCAAACTGTATCAAGCATCTCCATAGTTTAGAAATAAGATAAATAATTTGGTTCCATCTAAATTTATCTAACTGGCATACATGGTAGGCTTTTAAACTAACAATAAAATGGTCAACTGCAAACTGATGAGTAATTATGATTATCTGGTACCATAGCACACTGTGTACCAACTTCTAGCAGAATGAAATACTCTATAGTCATATACAACTGATTCTATTTCACTGCTTCTTAATTCAAACTGTCAGCTGAAATGCCATAATTTATCAGACCAACAAGAAAATGACTGATGTTTTTTTAATAATGTTCAAAGCATTAGCATTAATTACTATTTTAAAAAACGATTACTAACCTTGCTGAAGAGGCTGAGTGTTTGTACTGGGATTCTGACTAACTGGCTGGGTTGAGCTACTGGCCGTTGTGGCAGTAACAAGTCGGACATAGTGAAACTTGCTTCCAGGCACTTGGATCTGCTGGACATTTGGAGCAGTTGCCAGAGGAATAATTGTCTTAAACTGTGATGTGCCCACACCTCCAACAGTGATGGTCTGCACAGCTGATTTCACTGCCTATTAAACAATACAACATGGTTATCATTAATCTGGTATTTAACTTTCCTACATCTTTTCATTTAAGACAATCATCAAGTAAAAGCATGTTCCTGTAGTTCATCAAACACTGTTGAAAGGACAACCTGTTCAAAGAGAAACGAAAAGAACAGTAATGAATACAGAAGTGAAACTACAATTAGTGAGTTTTGTCTTCCATCTCTGATAGTTTCGTCCCTTGAAAATCCAAGTTGGATGACTTGCTATGAAAAAGTTATTACTTAAATTACAAAAACTTATATAATTTTGTTCACATCAGGTAAATTGTATAAGATTATTTTAAAACTCCAAGAATCAAGCTCCATATTCAACACAGAGAAAAAAGGATAACACTACCCACCAAATTAACTATGACAAATTTCATTTTCCCATGTTCTAAAGGAAAAAGAAATCCAAAAGAAAAGCCCTCTTTAAGTCTAGTCATTTTTGAAAGGCATAGAGCGTTCCACAGATACAAATGCATCCACTAACATATGGGTAGGACCCTAAATTTAGTCTAGAATTACACCAACTTTGGTTGTCTAGGGAAACTAATTTTGGGTGGTTCAGATTTGAGTCAACATTTTTAATTTCCTCCTTCAGTTTGACAAAAAGTAATGTGACTTCCTAAAAACCTAAGCGAAACATTAGAGGCAGAAGAAAACTAATGTCTTTTAAGTTTCTCCAATCTATGTTGTTTAGTCAATGTATAACAGATTGTCATACAAAGCAAAGGTACTGACAAGATTCTCCAACTACTTCTGTAGAATTATTTTTTAAAAATATATTTTATTGATTTTTCACAGAGAGGAGGAGAAAGGGATAGAAAGCTAAAAACGTCGATGAGAGAGAAACGTCGACCAGCTGCCTCTTGCACAACCCCTACTGGAAATGTACCCGCGACCAATGTACATGCTCCTGACTGTAATCGAACCTGGGACCTTTCAGTCTGCAGAGGGATGCTCTACCGCTGAGCCAAATGGTTTTGGCTGTAGAATTATTTTATAAAGAACTAGTGGCCCAGTGCATGAAACTCATGCACAAGGGGGGGGGGGGGTCCGTGTTCCTCAGCCCGGCCTGGACCCTCTCCAATCTGGGACCCCTCAAAGGATGGCCTACTGCTGGTTTACAGGGTTTGGGCCTAAACTGGTCGTTGGACATCCCTCTCACAATCCGGACTGCTGGCTCCCAACCACTCACCTGCCTGCCTGCCTGCCTGATTGCCCTAACTGCTTCTGCCTGCCAGCCTGATCACCCCCTAACCACTCCACTGCCAGCCCGATTGCCCATAACTTTCCTCCCTTGCCAGCCTGGTCACCCCTGATTGTCCTCCACTGCTAGCCCAATTGCCCCTAACTGCCCTACCTTGCAGACCTGTTTACCCCCCTGCCCTCCCTTGCAGACCTGATCCCCCCCTAACTGCCCTCCTCTGCTGGGCTGATTGCCCCCAACTGCTCTCCCCTGCAGACCTTGTCCCCTCCAACTGCCCTCCCCTGCAGGCCTGGTCACCCCTAACTCCCTCCCCTGCTGGCCCGATCGCCAACTGCCCTCCTCTCCTTGCCACCTTGTGGCACCATCTTATGTTGGGAATGATGGTCAATTTGCATATTACCTCTTTATTAGATAGTATTATGTCACTATTCTTTTAGTGGTTATTCCAGAGATTACCCTATAGGAATTAAGTAAGTACTTTACACATCATCCAGACAATGAAAGAACTGTATAACACTAACACCATTTATTCTTGCCCCATCTTTGTGCTTTTAAGTATTTTAATTCTATATATAACTTAAATTCCACAAGACATTTATATATACCCCACAAATTTACCCTTTCTGTCCTTTCCTTAAGTACAAGTCAGCTGATGGGAAATTCTCTCCACTTACTTTCTCAAAAAAAAAAAGAAAAAGAAAAAAAAAGTATAATCTGTTATCTAATTTGCTGATAAACTCATCTGTTAAATTCTTAAATCTCCATTAAGAGTGAAAATTTTGCCCTAACCAGTTTGGCTCAAGTGGATAGAGAGTCAGCCTATGGACTAAAAGGTCCCAGGTCCGATTCCAGTCAAGGGCATGCACATTGGTTGTGGACACATCCCCAGTATGTGCAGGCTGATCGATGTTTCTCTCCCATCGATGTTTCTAACTCTTTATCCCTCCTCTCCCTTCCTCTCTGTAAAAAATCAATACCATATATTATATATATATATTTTTTTTAAAGAATGAAAATTTTAAGTTTGAAAATGTTCACCATTCATCATAAAAATATTTATGATTCCTTTTCATTGTTTTTAATTCTCTGCTGAAGGTTTTCATCTTTTAAAAAAAATTTCTGAACATATTTATCTGTTATTTTTACAGTGTGAGTCTGATAATTCCATCACCCAGATCTCTTGGTTTTGAATAATTTGGTCTGGTTGCCTGGTCTGCCTGTGGCTCAGTTAGCTGACCGTTGTCCGATGCACTGAGAGGTTGGATGTTCACTGTCTGGTCAGGGCACACCTAAGGCAGATTTCCCTAGGTTTCCCTTTACTTCAGGGTGATGGCTTCTGATTTCATGGCTCCCTTGGTCAGTCTCATATGACAGATTTTTTTTTTTTAATATATTTTATTTTGATTTGTAGTTGTTCTTGGTGGAATGAATCTGCAACAAGCTAGTTCTGTAAAGCCAAAATAAAAAATCCAGAGTTCCTGGTTTTCAATCTAGGTTTCATTTCCTAAGTGTGTAACCTTGTGCAACTAATTAAACTATTCTGTGTCTAAGTTTTCTCATCTGAAAATGTAAAAATGGTACTTTTTCATAGGATTGTTGTAATGGTTAAATAAATTAAATTATATAAGGTACAAATAAGAATTCATCATATATTACAATGCTCAATTAATGTGAGATGCTATTTGTAACATTATGAAAGTTAATAGCATCAAGAATTGTAAATAACTAGTTACACAACTGCCTCTAAGAAACATGAAAGTATTTTTCAATCAATTAGTAAATTGAATAGAAGTATCCATAACATTTTTTAAAACATTTTTAATTTTTATTTATTTTAAAACTGATAAATTTTCTCTTATTTTAAAAATATTTTTATTGATTTTTTTTTTTTTTTTTAAGAGAAAGAGAAAGGGAAAGGGAGAAAGAAACATCGATTGGCTGCCGCCTGCACATCCTACTGGAGACTGAGCCTGCAATGCGCCTGACTTGGAACAGAACTGGTAACCTCTTGGTGCAAGGGATGACACTGTAACCAATTGAACAACCTGGTTAGGACACCAAATAATGATTTTGGATGAATACTTTAAAATAAAATATTGGATTAAAAAAAAAAACCTTATCTAAGCATAGCTCAAAATTTCAAAATTCATAAAGATACCATGCAATATTTTGAGTAATTTTATGTGCACAAAATTTCTGCAAGAAAAAAAAGACAAAGTTGCCGAACCTGGATACGTGCCCTTGACCAGGAATTTAACCCACTACTCTTCTGTGTGTGGGCCAATGGGCCACACTCTAACCATTGAGTACCCTGGCCAGGGCATAAGGTTTTTTATCATTGAATATCATAGATGTCCGCATTTTATCTGAATTCATCCAATGATACTTTTAGGATTTAGATATTGCAATATGTATACATAAATTTACCTCAAAAGAAAAAACTCCAAACAGTGAATTCCTGCTAATGGTATGCTAGATGAAAAATTTGGGGAGAAGTATAATGAATTTGTGCAACTAACTTTGAAACACATTTTTAAAACACATTAATGGATAGAAGAATGGACAGATAAATGATAAAGCAACTATAGTAACATGTTGAATCGAGCATTTAATTACAAAAGCAACATAGAATTCTACTCAAGCTAGAAGACCTAGAAGTAGTAAAAGTTCAAAAAGTTATAGAAATTAGAAAAGTAAGGAATTTTTCTTAAATCATCTGTACATAGCTTATGCTCTGAAATTCCTCACATGGGAGTTGAGTACATTCTGCATGCTAAATAACTATGTGGTGATTCAACTACTTACCACAGACAGGGCAAACAAGAAAGATTTGCTTGCCAAATAAAAGCCTTCCCACACACACCCCCACCCACCCAAAAAAGGAGTACTCACTTCCCTGGGTCGGAAAGCAAAACTGAAAAAGGTGTACATGAAGTGAATTCAAGAATGTCCAGGATAACTTGCATAGACTCTCAAAAGTAATGAGTAGGACATTTGGAAGATGTATTCATTATTAAAACATTAAAGAAAAAATTACATCTGAAACTAATATAAAATGTTGAATATAAACCATAATTGAAAAATAAAATTAAAAAAAAGAAATACATTAAGTTGGAAAAGAAAAAGTAGCCATCAACATCACATAAAGTGTTGACAGGCCTTACATTTCAGGAATATTTACTAACTCTCAAGACCAAATTTATGAGAAAAAAGTGTTTCACGATTTCTGACCATTGCTTCTTTTATCTAATTATCCAGAACCCAAGCTCTGTGAATCTTTACCTTTCTTTTATTTCCCCCCTCTAATAATTAGGAACTTTTTTTACTGACTTTATTGGGGTGATATTGGTTAATATAATCATTTGGGTTTCAATGTACAATTCTATAATACATCATTTGTATATATTGTATTTTGTGTTCACCATCCTAAGTAACCTTTACTTTTCCTGAACTTCAGTTATCCAAAAATTCAACTATCCTGATGCCTTTAGATCAGATTTTATATAAATCAACAGCCCAGCTTCTCTCTTTTTGCTAAGTCACCTACTTTATGAATAGAATATGGTTTGCCCATCCCAGATGTGTATAAGCGTAAAATTGCAAAAATTAAAATACAAACCAACACCCAGCCTGCTGGTGTGGCTCAGTGGTTGAACTTCGACCATGAACCAGGAAGTCACAATTTGATTCCTGGTCAGAGCACATGTTAGGGTTTTGGCTGGATCCCCAGTAGGGTGTGTGAGGTAGACAGCTGATTGATGATTCTCATTATTGATGTTTCTCTCTCCCTCTCCCTTTCTCTCTCTGAAATAAATAAAGACATATTTTAAAAAACAACAATAACAAAAGACACCAGATAGTTATTCTAATAATAAAATGAAAGGCAAGATTCAGAAATGAACTAGATGTTGCAACCATCAGGTAAGGACTTTAAAATATTAAAAAACCTAGTGAGAAAGAAGATAACATCAAGAGATAGAAACTATAAGATATAAAGATTCAAATGAAAATAAAATAAATACAATTACCAGAGGTGAAAAAGTCCTTCAATGGGTCCACTAGCAAACTCCACAGAACTAAAAACAGAACCAATAAATTTTTATACTAATTTATACTCTGATCAGTAGTGATCTTCTCATGTGACTTATCAAACATCTATTTAGTTGTTTTTTTTCCTCTCTTTTTTTTGCATTACCATTTATCCCCCCCTATACTCTCCTCCACCTCCACCAACCAATTATAGACCCTCCCAATCACCCTACTGCCCCTATCCATGAGTTCTCTCATTCTTAGTGAATCCAGGTTTTAGGGTACCAATATTAACACCAGATCACCAAAGTTCTTGCCTTCAGAACTGAGTACAAAAGAGAAAAAAAAAAAATTAGAACACTTCATTGATTTTTAGAGAGAGAGAAAGGGAAAGGGGGAGAGAAATATCACTGTGAGAGGACAACATCCATCAGCTGCCTCCTGAATACCTCCCACTGGGGATCGAGCCTACAACACAGGCATATGCCCTTGACTTGGAATCAAGGATGGTGGGCTCCATCCCCAGTGTGGAGCGTGCAAAAGGCAGTCGATCAATGACATTTCTATCTTTCTCTCCCTCTCCCTCCCTCTCTGAAATAAATCTATAATAATAAAAGCATAATATGCTAATTAGACCAGACATCCTTTCGGATGAAGCCGAGGCTGTGGCTGTGAGGGATCCAGGCAGCCACCACAGCTGTGAGGCCTACTCTTACACAAATTTCATGAATTGGCCCTCTAGTTAAAATATATTTTAAAAAAATAATAATAATAATAAAGGATGAGAAAAATAGTTCCAATTTTTATGCTATCAGGCACAGCCCATATATCAGGCATATTAGTCCAATACTACCATCTACTCTGTTATTCAAGTCAGGAATGTTGGAATAAGACCCTAACATCCAGTCATTATGCCTTGAACCTCTTTCAACACATCTTTTCCTCCCTAGCCCCTTATTTACTAGTCCAGCTCATATCTGAAGTACTATAATAATTTAACTTAGTGATTCTCTACTCTTTCCTCAACTTTAGAATTTTAAAATATTAAGTTTAATTCCTAGGTCCCAGCCTAGACACTCTGATTTAAATGGGGTCCAGCCATTAGTTTTTTCAAGTGGTCTCCAGGTCCTTCAAAATGCAGCCAAGGTTGAGAATTGCTAACATAATTGGTATCTCTCGTAGGATCTAGGCTTACCTTCCTCTATACTATCTTTCATTACATTTTAAGATTCATCTTTTTCAAAATGTAAGCCTCGCCAAAACCGGTTTGGCTCAGTGGATAGAGCGTCGGACTGCGGACTGAAAGGTTCCAGGTTCGATTCCGGTCAAGGGCATGTACCTTGGTTGCGGACACATCCCCAGTGGGGGGTGTGCAGGAGGCAGCTGGTTGATGATTCTCTCTCATCAACGTTTCTAACTCTCTATCTCTTTCCCTTCCTCTCTGTAAAAAATCAATAAAATATATTTAAGAAAAATAAATAATAAATAAATAAATAAATAAATAAATAAATAAATAAATAAAATGTAAGCCTCATATTATCCTAAAGGAGTAGTTTAGGATCACTTAGAGAGCTTTCAAAAATTCTGGTTCCAGGCCAAACTTTGGACCAATTAAAACAAAGTCTCTAGAGATAAGAACCAGGCACTGATTTCCAATTTGCAGATAAGGCTGAGAACCACTATCCTAGCAACAATGGGAAGCACAGAAAGTCTCTAAGAATAATAAAATAGCCCTAGCCAGTTTGGCTCAGTGGATAGAGCATCGGCCTGTGGACTAAAAGGTTCCAGGCTGCATTCCGATCAAGGGCATGTACCTTGGATGCGGGCATACCCCAGTAGGAGGTGTGCAGGAGGCAGATGATAGATGTTCTCTCTCATTGATGTTTCTAACTCTCTGTCCCTCTCCTTCCTCTCTGTAAAAAATCAATAAAATATATTTTTAAAAATAACAATATCTAAACTCCCCTGAAGGTAATGACTTTCTATTAACTTTAGCACCCTCCATTCTCACAATACCAAAGCATCTCGGCTCCCTGAAAGGGCCACACTTTTAGATTTTTATGTATTACCTCAATCCATAAGACCTCCTCTGCTCACCTATAACTAAGATCCAAGCCACCTTTAAGGTTAATACCTTTCAAGAATAGCCTCCTTTGTACAAACCTTCCCTGACACACACAATAGAGTTCATCAATACACCCGTGAAAGTTAATGATTCTGCAGAGCAATTCTTAATGTTTAAATATAATTTTCCTATTGAATTACTTATAATTAAAAACTTACCTGATTCATGTTTCTATCCCCAGTTCCTATCACTATGCACACAGAGTTATTCAAATATCTGTTGAATTAATTCCATTTAAGTAAATAATTATCTATATTATTATGCAGGTAGAATTCCATTTTAATAAACTGTAAGAAACATCATATTTATATATTACAGTCAAGAAACCAGGAGCTAGACTTTTTAAAAAATGTAAGGCAACTGTTAACTTTTGTTCTATTTATAAACAGTAACAAATTAAGGAAAAAGGCAGATAGAAAGTGTAGTATGTTTTCAGAAACACAAGGGTGGTACCTTACAGAATAATAATGTTTGGGTTTCCAACTGAATTTGTCCTTTAAAATTTATCTTTTCAAAATGTCATGCTGGTATAATGAAATCTGTATAATTTAAGATTATAAAGTGAGCTAAGATTGCTTACTTGATCTAAGAGTAAAATGATAGGTGCTCTGCCACCTTAATATAAAACAAATTATGAAAAGCTTTCAAATGCTCTGAATGAACTGCACATAAGCTTCAAAACTTTGATATGGTTCCAGCATTTGATGGTCATTTCTAGTACTCTGTGTACTCTGTTACTCATCAAAAGTTCAGCTCTCCATAAAACAGCTTAAGCAGAAGATGCAGAGTATTTTATCAAAAGGAATTATATTGCCCTAGCCGGCTTGGCTCAGTGGATAGAGTATTAGTCTGCAGATTGAGAGGGTCCCAGGTTCGATTCCACATGCCTGGGTTGCCGGCTCAATCCCCAGCAGGGGGCATGCAGGAGGCAGCCGATCAATGATTCTCTCTTATCACTGATGTCTATCTCTATCTCCTTCTCCCTTCCTCTCTGAAATTAATAAAAATAAATATATTTTTAAAAAGTTATATTAAACATTTTAGATTTATATATCATTATACATACATGTGACTTACCCAAAGATAGTAATTTGCACAAATATTAACTAAAGAGCTAAACACATAATGTACCACAATTAAAAGAGCTTTGTTGTACCCATATTTATAGGCCATGAAAATCTTAGCATATAAAAAGATTACTAGGTTACTATGTGTTTAGAATACGTGTTTTATGTCATATATCCTTGATTACTAAATTAACCCAGTATTTAACTGAATGTCTATTCAGTTGCCTGGGAATATATTAAAACCAAAGGTATCTGAAGTGACTATAAAAAATAAAAGCGGCCGAGACCGGTTTGGCTCAATGGATAGAGCGTCGGCTTGGGGACTGAAGGGACCCGGGTTTGATTCCGGTCAAGGGCATGTACCTTGGTTGCGGGCATATCCCCAGTAGGGGGTATGCAAGAGGCAGCTGATCGATGACTCTCTCTCATCGATGTTTCTAACTCTCTATCTCTCTCACTTCTTCCCTGTACAAAATCAATAAAATATATATTTAAAAAAATAAATAAATAAAAAATAAAAGCGTTGGCCACAATACTTGGCATTTGTGGTTAATTTTTTTTTTTTTTTTACCTTATTTGGCGATTTCAAAGGTGAGATGGCTATTTTATTTGGTGTCTGTGTTGTAGAATTCAAAGTTGATCCAATAACACCACTTTCAGATATTGTTATGGTCTTTGATGGAGTCCCAGGAGTAGACTGTGAAAGAACCCTACCTGCAAATGAGAGGCAGCACATCAGTTTGACTTTTTATAATAATAATATAAAAATGTTTGTGACGATGATCTACCCTCACAACGACTGTAATATATGTTTACTATTTCATATGTATTCACATATGAACTTCAACATTCAAGCGAGTTCCTAATGAATTATGATAAACCTAAGAGGAAAGAAGTAAAGGAGTGTTTCTTAGCAACACTTAGTATCTTAATATCACTTTAAATAAAGTCCATAAAAACACCTCTGCTCACATTCTCATCAACCTTGATAAATATTATCAGAAAATAGACTCAGGACAACTAAGCAACATGCCTTGTGTGACACAGATCCTAAAAGTCAGTATTTGAAGTCTTAAAATTCCAATCTGTTTCCTACTATACTACAGCTATCTTAAACCACAGGATACAATTAAGTCCACATCTACAGAACATAGTTACTGAACTAACTTAACACTGTATGGTTTAATACTGTCTGATTTTAGACTGCCAAAAGGAAAAAAAAAATCTTCCTGGCCAGATTCCAAAAAGAATACAGAAATACTGTGTTCACTTCTGAACAATACCCTTCAGCAACAATATACACACGCACACACAAAACAAACTGTAGTGTGTCTAGAGAGCTTAGGGAATTAGAAATCATATCATGATGAGTTGAAATACTAAAATTCTTATCATAGGCAAGAAAGGAATACAAAGACATGATATATCTCCAAATTCTTAAAAGACTGTATAATGCCCTGGCCAAGTGACTAAGTTGGTTGGAGCATCATCCAGTATACCAAAAGGCTGCAAGTTTGATCCCCAATCAGGGCATGTACAGGGGGCAACCAAGTGGTGTGTTCTCGTGTTCTCTCTCTCTCTCTCTCTCTCTCTCTCTCTCTCTCTCTCTCATATTCTCAGGTGAAGATCTACAATATAAAATGAGACTGTGATAAGTCATTAGTGCCATTCATCAAGTATTCTGGGGACTTGGTAGAGCTGCACTTTCTATCCTTCCCCATTCCCTGTGGTTAGATATGGACCATGGGACTAGTCCTGGCCAATGAAATATGAGTAGAAGTAAGGAGTGTCATCTCTTTGCAAGAACACTTACTTCCTGTGGAGACCTTTCAAAGCTCTTTTTTTCTGCCACATTTGAGGTGATGGCTCCCCTGTCAGCCTGGGTCCTTGAGAGATTCATGAGAAGAATCCCCCTCTCTAAATCCACAATGGACATGCAGAAAGTCATAAAGTGTAAACAGAGAAATAAAAACTGGGATTTATTTAAAAACTTCTGAATTTAGAGATTATTTATTATGGCAGGAAAACCAAGATTATCTTGACTGATCCAGCTGTCAAGTTGAAGGATTAGAACCATCAGCTGCACAGCACTAATGCATAGAAATAAAAATATTCAGCTTAACACTAAGAAAAAACTTCTAACAAAATTTTCCAATTGAAATGACTGTTTCAACACATGAGTTTTTAGTCACTGAAAGTGTTTCAAGCAGATGCTGGTTAATCAAATCAACTGAGGGGCCTGCTTGTTTTTCATTGAGATAGCACTTCTGATTATCTAATCTCCAAATCCCTTTTTATCCTTAGCTGTATAGACAAAATCAAGCAAATATGCAAGTTGTATAATTTCACCCTGAGTCAGTATGCAAAGCATTTATAATCGTCAGGTGTTGTCCACCTGAATCAAAAGACATATTCCAGAAAGCTAGAGATGGGCAGTTTGAGATAGAGAGCTAACATATCTGAGCGAGGACTAATTCTATCAGAGATTAATTCATTAGTGAATATTTTCACATTGTTGACGTTTGCCACACTGTAGCAACCTTGTACCTTGGGAGCTCTGATAATAAGGACCTCTGTATCTCACTTAACCATCTCAAAAGTCTTATGCAGTGGTTGGTATCATCATTTAACATAAGATGAACAGATACTGTATTTACCCATAAAAGAGAAAAATCAATGGAAGAGCCATGACTAGAACACAAGTCTCCCAATAGCTCGTTTCATACCAATGCACTGCTTCCATGATGTACATATTCACTTAATCATTCACTGAAATACATCTTTAGGCCAAAAATTGCTAGGTACTAGAAGGACAGAGATAAAAGAACTACCATCAATATGCTACATACATACCTGCTATCATACAGATGGACCATGAGCCAGTCATAAAAGAACAAAGTCAAAGTGAGAGAAACAGAAAGTCTCTGCTGGGGCTGAGAAGATATAGGAATGGGGAGTTATTATGTAACTAGAGGCCCAGTGAATGAATTCGTGCATCAGTGGGGACCCGTGGTCTGGCCTGTGGGATCAGGCCAAAACTGGCTCTCCAACATGCCCCATGGGTCCCGGATTTCGAGAGGGCGCAGGGCAGACCGAGGGACCCCACGGGTGCACAATCAAAGCCAGGGAGGGACATGGGAGGTTGGCCAGAGGGGAGAGACCACGGGAGGGCTCCAGGGTGTGTCCGGCCCATTTCATTCAGTCCCTATTGGCCAGATCCCAAAAGCAAGCTAACCTACCAGTCAGTGAGTCTGCCCCTTGGTGGTCAGTGCACATCATACCGACTGGTTGACCAATTGTCTGCCCCCTGGTGGTCAGTGTACATCATAGCAAGTGGTTGAGTGGCCTTAGCATATTATTAGCATACTAGAGGCCCAGTGCACGAAATTTGTGCATGGGTAAGGTCCCTAGAACTGGCCAGCAATCAGGGCCGATTGGGGCCTCCCTTCCTTTGTTCCGTGCTGCACCCTGATGGTCAGCACACGTCATAGTGAGCAATCAAACACTCAAGAGGACACTTTGCATATTAGCCTTTTATATATATATATATATAGATAGATAGATAGATAGATAGATTACACTTTGGTTGAACGGCCAACTGGTCGACCAGATACTTAGCATATTAGGCTTTTATTGTACAGGACTAAAGGCCCGATGCATGAAATTCTTTGTGCAATAATAGTCCTTCTTTCCCCCAGCTGCTGGCACTGGCTTCCCTCTATTACCCAGGACCTGGGCTTCTCTTGCAGCCCTGGCTTCTTCCGGAAGATCGCCCAAAAGACATCTGGTCTAATTAGCATATTACGCTTTTATTATTATAAATAGGTACAGAGATTTCATTTTGCAAAATGAAAAGATTTCTAGAGATGGGACAGTAGTGATGATTGCACAATGATGTGAATATATTAAATGCCACTGGATTATACACTTAAAACTATTAAAATGGTCAACTTTATACTATATATATTTTATCACAACTTTAAAAAAGTGAATTAATTTTAAAAAACTAGATGGCAAACAAAAAAAAATTACCATTAAGAAAAATGAATCCTGGCCATCATGGTTCAGTGGTTAGAACATCTGACTGGGGATCCAGGGGTCATGGGTTCAATTTCTACTCAAGGACATGTATCTGGGTTGCAGGTTCATTCCCCAGCCCCAGACCGGAGGCATGCAGGAGGCAACCAATCGATGTGTCTCTCTCTCATCAATGTTCCTCTCTCTCTCTCCTCCCTCTAATAAAATCAATGGGAAAATATCCTCAAGTAAGAATTAACAAAAAGAAAAATAAAGAATAGGGAGACAAACAAGAAAGACAAGTATTACAATACAATATGACTAAAAGATATTCTAAAAAACTAGTGTGAAATTTAAAAGAAGTCTAAAGTATTTGGTAGGTATATTAAGTTTTATGGGAATATATAGAAGATGGTCAGAGTAAGAGTATTTGACTAAGGTCAAAAGCTTCCAAGACAGGAGGTAATCCAAAGGTAAAAAGGATGAGTTAGCCATGAGGACAGCAAAGAAAGATTTTTCAGGTAAAAGGAACAGTGCACATGTTTCAGGTAAAAGGAACAGTTCACTTGGTAATCTCTTAAAATAAGTTAAATCAGTAGGTGGAGCTGACAAGAGATAAAATGAAAAAGGTATGTATGAGATCATACTGTAAATGTTTTTAATGCTAAGAAAGCACAGGCATTTGAACTTAATCCTAATTGATTGAAGCCCAGAAATGGATACAGCCAAAAAAATTCTAAGCAAGGGTGTGACAAGATCAGATTTCCATTTCGGAAAAATCACATATTTACAAACATAGGTTTATCTTGACTGACAGAAAAAGATATCTATCTTCAATGAGAAGCTCAAAAGTCATTAAAATAAAAATAAAAACCCACATCTAAATGTACTTTGAAAGATCATTAACTACAAAATAAAGATAGGTCTCCTTGAATAAGACAATGCAACAGGAGAGATACTTTGATGGTTTAAAATTTGGTTTTCATTAATTTAAAAGGCTATAAAGAACTAGTTAACAGCAGAAATTATCCCTCCAAACTGAACTTAAACATCAACAATTCTAGTGAAATTTAATAGAAGTCTACCTCAATTTTGGTAGGGCTAATCTACACTAATAAAAGAGAAACATGCAAATTGACCATCACTCCACTACACCGCCAGACAATCAGGAGGTAATATGCAAATTAGGAGAATAAAGATGGCGGCCACCCAGCTGCTCCAAGTGCAGAGTGGCCAGGCAGGGCAGGAGACCTACTATGAGAGGGAGGGCCGGGGGAAGGGATCTACAGGAGCAGCACTCCAGTGCAGCAAAGACGAAGACTGCACTGCAGCAAAAACCAAGATGGCAGACTCTGGCCCAAGTCTTCAGAGAAGCAGCAAAGACAAAGATGGCAGACTTTGGCTGGAGCAAAGGCCTGGGTCCTGGGTGCGGGAGGAAAACTGGTGCTGGAAGCCAAGGGAAGGAAGGCCTACTGCACAAATCTCTCTCTCCATGCAACGGGACTCTAATAAACTTATAATTAAAGATGAAGCTATAGTCGGTGTGCAACATATGACCCAAAGACCCAGCAATGACATAGTCATGTTATAGTCAAATGTAAGAGGTGAAACCAGGACATTAACTAAAAATACATTCAGACACTTCTGCAGACACCACACTTGTTTGGTATACAATTTTCCCACGTAATTTTAAAAATTTAAGGGATTCTCTCAAATTTCAAAACAGTAAAGAACATTGTATTGAGACATTCCTCTCCTGGTTAACCAATTCCACCTATGAAAAACCTCCGAGGGATCTGGAGGTCCCTTTTTTCACAATACATCTAAGCCTTGTTCACTTTCAGCCAACTGAAGCCCACTTCCTAAACCAGCTCCAAATCCCAATCCTTTTCCAATCTTTCCTCTGGGGCTATACCTGCTTTCAATGCAGTCCTCGAATCACCAGCCTCCTATATCTACCACAAATCTCTAATAAGGACAAAAGAGAAAGAAAACATTCATTCACCCAACACTGTCTTCATATCACAATCTTTCTATGCCTTCTCTCATTTGCTAAAATGAGAAGCCTTCTTACATATAATTCCAAACTTCAAAAAAATGGCAAATCATGGCCACTGACTTCAGAGCTGCCTACTGTTACACTGTCTGTAAACTTACCAAAGACAGTAGTAATAGGTGCTTTCTATTTATACTCCTTCTCCCACCCATGGTTAGTTAAAATTTAAAGCACACTCATCAAGAATACACAAAGGAACCTTGGCCAGGTAGCTCAGTTGGAGTGTCATGCTCTCAAGTTTCAGGTTTGATCCCTGGTCAAGTTACATATAAGAATCAAACAAAGAATGCATAAATAAGTGGAACAACAAATGATGTCTCTCTCTCTCTCTCTCTCTCTCTCTCTCTTTCCTCTCCCTCCAAAATTAATAAATAAAAATTTTTATTATAAAATTTATAATTTATTCATACAAGAATGGGTAATTAGCATTTGAACTTCTCTAGTCAAAGTCTACCATCCAGAGGTGCTTCCTTAAAGCACAATGAAAATTAGAAATGAGCTCTAAATTGGTGAAAATCGTCATGTCAGTTTAACTCTGAATTAAAGACTAGTCACCATGGCTTTGTGGATTTTTTCTAGAAATACTGAGCTGCTTGCCAAGCAAGGAGTTAAGAAGAAAGATGGACTTAACCAAGCTATTATAGAAAGAGACAAGGAAAAGATAATTAATGGTGTTTGCATGGACTCCATATTGAATAAGGAAGACTGTGAGGACAGGAATGGGCTGATTATTAATAAGGAAGTGGGAGGGTTAATGGATCAGAGATTTCAAAGTCAAAGAACTGCCAGACTGGGAGTACAAAGGAAGGTAATCTAGAATAAAGAGAATGAAATAATAAAATCGAGAAAGAGGTTAGCCCTGGCCAGGTAGCCCAGTTGGTTAAAGCACATTGTCCCAATACTTCAAGATTGTGGGTCCGATCCTTGGTCAGGCCACATACAAGAAGCAGCCAAAGAATGCATAAATAAGTGGAACAACAAATCTATGTTTCTCTCTCCTCTCTCTATAAAATCAAGGGGGGGAAAAAAAAGAAAAAAGATTTCTGAGGTTTTAGTTATTGATGACAATTTTAAAAATATATATATTTTTACTGATTTCAGAGAGTAAAAGAGAGGGAGGGAGATAGATAGAAACATCAATGATGAGAATCATTGATCAGCTACATCCTGCATGCACCATAATGGGGATTGAGCCCGCAACCTAGGCATTCGCCCTGACTAGAAATCAAACCATAACCTCCTGGTTCCCAGGTTGATGCTCAACCACTGAGCCATGCCAGTTGGACTGATGACAAATTTTAAAGTATATAATAAAAGAGAACTGGGTCACATTATGGAATTTGCTGGCAAAATATAAACTTCTGTTATCACTAAAGTAACTGCATCATTGTGACAATTTTCTATCCATAGAAAACTGCATGTAGAGCATATGAAAATACTGAAACTAAAAATTCAAACAGAAACCATAAAATACTATACTCCCATGTGTATTAATTTAAAACTGTCAGACTTAGCACATGTGCTCTAGAGACAAACTGCTTAGGTTCAAACTCCAGGTGGCCAATTACTAGATGAGTACCTCCATTTCCACACAGGCAAAATGGGGCTGGTATTAGTATCTACCTCACAGACTTGCCAGAGGATTATAGAAGTCACTATATGTAAAAAGCTAAGAATAGTGCAGGGCACATGATAAACACTAATAACTAATATTATTAGAGTTTAAGTCTTTGTATTACTTTCATAGTAAAATTCTACCCCAAACTAAAGAAACAAAAATAATAGACTGATTTTGAGATAAGGCATTTTGCTGAAGCATACATTTAATAAGTGAAACATTTCTTATTAACAAGTTTGGTTTATAAAATGTTATTTCACTAATACATTTCAAGGTGGCAGAACAGCCTTTTATAAACATAAAATATAAATATATAGCTTAATAAACTATAAAGAAATATAACCTGCAATGACTGGTGGTGATACTTGAGTTGTCTGTCCTGTAACTGCTTTACTATTAATTGGTTTTGCAAAGATCAGCTTCGTGATTACTGGACCAGAGGTTGGTGTTCGAGGCTTCTTAGCAATCTGAAATATATAAATAACTATGAAGACCATTTGTTTCTATAAAACACCTTTGCAATCACAATTAAAAGATTGGTATTCAGAAGTATACATGAAGCCAGTTCATTTAACAAAATATATCTACGAATTAATGTTAAAAAACTTATAATGTAGCCATTAATTAAACATTATTACAACACTCTTAGGCAAAAATATAGTAATACATTTGCATTTCATTGTAAATCCTTATTTCAGTCTCTGGGATATAGATATATAATGAAAAACAAATTAATATTTTAAAATAATGTTTAATAAGTTTACTTAACATTTAATAAAAAAAAAACCTATGACATAACAATATTCTTTTCAAAAGAACAAATTATTCAATAATAAAAAGATAGAGCAAAGTAAGAGAGAATAGTGTAAATGATGAAACCACCTATAAATATTGACCCCTGGAAACAAAATATAAATACACATTAAAGATGTGCTTATGATTAGATGTTCAGCTTTAGATCTATATATCAGGAGTAGATAAATGAAGAACTGAATAAGTTAATGCCCTCGGATACAAAGAGACATCTTGGGCAAAACAAAGACTATTGTAAAGGCAAAACCACTCAAATATTATTTACTAAGATACTGTTTCTTGAAGAGAGACCATTTTAGTCATCTTTGATCTTAGGTTATATATTGGCACACTGTTAACCTGAACTAAAATTCTTCACAAGTCAAACAAGGTAGAATTACCAATGCTTTTATATTGAAATTATCAATATATGCAAAGACATAGTTTCTTCTAAAAGTTAAAAGCAGAAACTTAGATCTAATAAAACTTTTAGAGCAGGAAGAAAATTAAATATTAATTTTATCTTTGGGCAGATATGAAAATTGAGGTCTTGTATTTTTTATTATTGGAAATAATGACTCAAAATGAATAAACATGACCAACTTGAATGATAGAAATATACCAGAAGCTGAACTAAATACCAGCTTGTGATCAAACTATAAATTAAACTAAAACCTTTTGTTACACTTAGCATATATTACTTTCTTACATTGAGAACATATTACTGACAAAATGAAATATAAATCACTTTTTTTAAAAACATGGGATCAATCACTACATTAAAAAATACCCAACTTGCCCTAACCGGTTTGGCGCAGTGAATAGAGCGTCAGCCTGCGGCCTGAAGGGTCCCAGATTAAATTCTGGTCAAGGGCATGTACCTTGGCTGCGGGCACAACCCTGGTGGGAGGTGTGCAAGAGGCAGCTGATTGATGTTTCTCTCTCATCAATGTTTCTAACTATCTCTCTCCCTTCCTCTCTGTAAAAAATCAATAAGATATATATTAAAAAAAATACCCAACTTGCAAAACTCTAATATACTCAAATAAATTCATAATTGTACTTTAAAAAACACTGATTCAATTTGGGAGACATACAGGAGATATTTTCCTCAAATGTGTTTACAAGCTTAAAACTCTAAAGTAAGTCAGAATATGTCATCTATTGACTTAGTATTAATAATCTCAAGAGGTAGAAGTATTGATATTTTTAAAATCTATGTCTCAAAATAATCTTATCTATAAAGATTAGGAACTTAAAAGTATTTACATATTTTTAACTGATTTTCACAATCATCTGACTATATGAATATTTACCAATAAAAAAACAACACTAAACAACACAACCAAAAGCACAATAATTTATCAAATGAACAATCTCAACCTGCCCTCTAGTTATGTTTTTTAATGGAGCTTTGCTGAAAAATAATGATTTCCAGTTCAGTTAAGGAACCATAATTTTTATATTATGAATTCTATAAACTACCTCAGAACAAAATTACTTTATTAAGTAAAAAAAACAACAACATAAAGGATCATTTATATCAAATGTATCCAATCAGCAGATTAAGACAAAAATGAATCAAAAAGGAAATTTACAAATAAAATAGCCAAATATCTAATCAAATAATATATGTAGGTAATTTTTGGCACTGTGTGTATAGGTATAGAAACCAGTTTGGAATAATGCTGTTTCATACTGCTAGCTATTTATTTCTCTTATTATACTATGCATATGAAACATGGGAAAGTGTTTATATATCTGTAATTAAGTGTGACTATACCTCTTAGTTACTGCCTCTGGCCTCAACTGTCACCTCTTCCCTTCATTTTTCAAGATGGGTCTCCTTCTTCCACCCTACCTGCTGTCCATACCCTAACAGTTTCAATACTCATTAAACTTAAGACAACGCTGAGGACTCTCTGGGGAAAAAACAAAGAATCATATACACCATGTAATAATAAACCAAATATTTTGGTGCCTAAGAAGGAAACATATAGATGTGTAGCTTACTTGTTTTTTATGTGTTTCAGAGCTTTGTAGGTTACTTTTGAGTTAGAAGGACTTGGGTTGCCTAAAAATTACTGGACAAGTAGAGTAATATCCTAAACAGAGTTTCTTTTGTTTTTGTTATTATATTATGGTGTGTGTGTTTTTTAAACCAAAGTTCTTTTTCATAAACAGAATCATGGTTTATAAAAGTAACAACAATAAAAGAAGTTGTAAAAATTAGTTCCCAGTCTTTGTTTTTATTGTCAGTACTTAGGTGATTATAGTAAAAAACTAGTGAATACAAGTAAATTGGTCATTAAAACAGTCTGTATACATTGCTCTTATAAATGAAAAAAAATGCATTCTACTTTTACATTATCAGTTTCTTGTGAAATGATTATGAGCCACATCCCCAATAAAAAACAAGTTTCAAAACTGATTTTTTAAAAAGTTAGGACAAGATGCTAGATGGTAATAACTCATTTAAGAGATCATCAAAATAAGTAAAAGAAGTCAGAGATAGGTGAGATGACAATGAACAAAAAAGAAAAGAACACAATATTCCAAAGTGCTAGAAGGGACATGGGCAAATTACAAGCTTTGAGAAATCTTACAAAGTAATTCTTAAATAAAAAGCCCATGACATAATAACCAAACATTATTTCTAATATCAGCTGAGAGTAGATAGCTCCCCAAACCTTCATATTTCTTTATACACCTGCTTTAGTTCTCTAACTCCTGCCTTCTTTTTTGTAAAAGGCAATTCTTTCAAATAGGGAATTTATTTGTGTTCCCTGGACTTAAGTGGATCTTTGCATTTCTAAGAGTAGTGGTGACCAAAACAGGCCTACTTGGGCATGAAAAATGGGAAGCCATTTAACAAATGTGCTGTTAACCTTCTCTGTTAAGGTCCTTTTACTACTGATAATAAGTGCCATTTTGAAGGATCCTCAAAGTTTTGAGAACTACAAGTACTTTCATCATGTTCAAATAACCATCTTCCAGCTAAAGCAAAAAACTCAGAGACGATAAGTATCGATAACTTATCCAAAGTTCCCCAGATGTTAGGGAAGCAGAGAGGTAACTTAAATCTAGTTGGTCCAACTCTAAAGCCTATGTGTTACTTCCATCGTATGGCACTACCTTTTCCAAACTGTAAACATGAGTGATGAAAACGGACAGTAAACACCAAAGAAAGGCACACATTGGCCAGAATGTACTATTTCTGGCTCCAAGGGTTTCTTAGAGCAGCAAGTTTTCCTAGACTTTGACCATCGGTTAACTGAAAAAAATCGTATCTGAATGATTTTTTGCAGTCTTTCAGCAATTGTGGCATCTTTATACTAGCAGAACATCCTTATAATCAAACTATTACAAAGAATAAATGCATTTAAAAATGAGTAAAAGCTATAAGTACACTCATCTGGAATTTAACCAAAATTGTTTACTCTAAGTTCTCTAGCAAAAATATCCAAAGGATTAGACATACCAAACTTAACCAGGAAAAAAAAAAACAACAAAAAAAACACCGCAATACCCACACACAATTACCAAACACAACATTCCAAAGAATTCAGTAACAGCTAAGCATTTAATTACCCTACAAACACAACTACCATCAACTTAATTTTTAACATGCATTTTAATTCATAAGCCCCCTTTTTTACCTGTACTGTTTTTAACTGTTGGGTCTGTAACACAGAGGGCTGAGTTGTAGTATTAATCAGTTGATTTCCTGGGGTCAATGCTGAGACACCAATGACAGGTTTCACCTCTGGCCTCCCTCCAATGGTAACTACTTTAATTTGCTGCGGTGGTAACTTAGCATCTCCTGACTGGGCCTGAGTTGTAACTTTCTGAGCCTGGGGTAGTTGGCTATGGGGTAGTGCTAAAACAATTGGTGAACCAGACTTGCCCAAAGTTGTTAAAATTAACTTCTGTCCATCTGGTTTAAGGGTCTGATTGCCAAGTTTAAGATCAGATGTCTGTGATACTTTGTTTAAAATAATCTGATTGGCAGATATAGTCACAGGAGTCTGAGCACCAAGTTTTTGAAGGCCACTTGGAAAAGCTGGTTTCACTGTGGTATTAGAATCTGCTTTAGTAATTGTGGTATTCACTGCAACTTGGTTAGTGTGGTTACTGTACACTGTGATTGGTTCCGTGGAAATGGGCGTGGCTGTAGAGTCACCAGTAGAATTTATGTTGACAATTTCTTCCAGTTCTGTCTCCATGGGAATTGGGGATGAAACAATAACAGCCTCAATACTATCATCATCCACTAAAGTTATACCAGTGTCCATTATCTCCTCTGGAAGCAAGCTATTCACCTCAGCTGGCACCACCTCCATGATCGTTCTCCTGCTAGAAAGATGATCAGGCTCTGCAATAAAAGTTGAAAAATAAAAATTACTAGCGTTCAAAATAGTTTTTAGACAAGAACAAAATTATTTGAGAAAAATACAAGTAACAAAATTTTAAATGACATTTTTTATTGGTGTATAATTTAATAAAGGATATTCCTGATGTGGATTTGAGTTAAACCATTTTAACATATCCTCAGCTTTCAAATATCTGAAATATAATTCATATGAGACACAAAACTAGAAGCCAACATTCTCATTCACCATGTTGCAATTCAAAAGTATACTGCAAAAAAAAAAAGTATACTGCATTTAGGCAACACTAAGTCACATAATTATAGGAAACTCCTTTCCAATGACTACTCATAAAACTTTAAATCTTTGACATGTCCGATGATCATCTTATTTCTTCCCATTTTTTTCCTATTGTCAGACTTAAAAACTGCTGAAGCACACAAAGAAATAAAGATTTTAAAATGTAAACAGATATTGGAAACATATCTTCAAATCTCCAGTGAGCTAGATCCTAAAATTATGGCATTTATACCATTTCTAAAATTCCATTAAGTACTCAAATTAATGTTAAAAGAGTTTTTAGAGTAATCCATCTCAGCAACTAAAGATCAAAAGGCTTATTTGGCCCAAGTTTGATCAATTAATTAGCTTCATACCAAAGAAAACCTTATTTGGGCCGAAACTAGTTTGGTTCAATGGATGGAGCAATCGGCCTGTGGACTGAGGGGTCCCAGGTTCGATTCCGGTCAAGGGCATGTGCCTTGGTTGTGGGCACATCCCCAGTGGGGCGTGTGCAGGAGGCAGTTGATAGATGTTTCTCTCTCATCGATGTTTCTAATTCTCTATTCCTCTCTGTAAAAAATCAATTTTTATATATATATATAAAAATTGATTTTTTACAGAGAGGAATATATATATTCCTCTCTGTAAAAATAAGGTTTTCTTTCATATATATATATATGAAAGAAAACCTTATTTGGAAAAAAGATTATATATATATATATATATATATATATATATATATATATATATGAAAGAAAACCTTATTTGGAAAAAAGATTCTCAAATCTCAGCCATTTAAAATATCAAAAATGGCATCATTTGAGAATTATACAGCCAGTCCCTCTAAAGAAACAAAATGTTAATAATAATACTAAAGCAGGTTATGCACAAATCAGAACTGTTATGCTTTTAGTCAAAGGTAGTGCAAAACTCCCAATAAAAGAATCAGTTATTGCTGAAACCGGTTTGGCTCAGTGGATAGAGCATCGGCCTGCGGACTGAAAGGTCCTGGGTTCGATTCCGGTCAAGGGCGTGTACTTGGTTGCCGAAACTAGTTTGGTTCAATGGATGGAGCAATCGGCCTGTGGACTGAGGGGTCCCAGGTTCGATTCCGGTCAAGGGCATGTGCCTTGGTTGTGGGCACATCCCCGGTGGGGGGTGTGCAAGAGGCAGCTGATCGATGTTTCTCTCTCTCTATCCCTCTCTCTTCCTCTCTGTGAAAAATCAATAAAATATATATTTTTAAAAAAGAATCACTTATCTTCATTTAAAGAAAGTACATCATGTTTATGACTGACTAAATAGCAACAAGTTATTGCTCGTAAATATCAAAGATTCATAGGAATCTAATAAATAATTCTTCCTTTTTTTAAAATATAAAAATGCAATACCCATTCCAAGATTAAGAGTAACAGGCATGAGTTACAAGTTATAATTATTAACATTGATAAATATTAATACTGCCCAAATTAGTCATCTTTATTGAGCACTTACTATCAAACAATAATGAGGGCATTTGATTTATCCTCATAACAACTCTGAGATGGTAACAATAACACCCCCATTTTGCAGATGAAGAAACTTAGGTTAAATAATTTATCCAAAGTCACATAAGCTAGTAAATGGAAGAGCCAGGACTCAAACTCAGGATATGTTTTATGATAACAAAGTTCATAATTTTAATCACAAAATTATATTGCCTTGAAGTTTTACCATTGGTATTTTTAATGGGCAAAAAATAAGTCTACTCCTTTACAGTCAATCATCCTATACAATCACTGATCTATTCTGCCACTGTAGATTAGTTCTGCTTTTTTGTCCATTCTAGAAGTGCACATAAATGGAATCACCTGTTATGTACTCATATGGTATGAGCTCTTCCCTCTTAGCATGTTGGGATTTATCTTTACTCTTGTACTTTGTTCTGTCCATTTTTACTGTTGAATAATATTCCCTTGTAAGAATCTACCATGATTTGTCTATCCATTCACAAACTGATGGACATTAGGATTGTTTCCAGTTTGAGACTCTTATGAATAATTCTGCTATGAACACTCAAGATCAAATTTTTTATGTATGTATATTTTCTTTTATTTTGAATAATACCTAGAAATTAACTTGCCAGATCATAAGGTAAGTTTATTTTAAACTTTGCAGGAAACTGCCAATTTTCCAATTTGGTTGTACCATTTTATACACCCACCAGAAATGTACAAGTTCCAGCTGTTCCATATCGTCACCAACAATTGGTAGTCAGTCTTTATAATGTTAGCCATTCTAGTCGGTATGAAGTGATATTTCTTTGTGGTTTTAATTTAATTCCCAGATGACTAATGATGTTGAGTATAGTATTTTCATATGAGTATTACCTATTGGTATCTTTTCTTTTGAAAATTGCCTATAAAAATCTTTTGCCATTCTTAAAATACTATTGTTTTTTAGGCTCCTGTAAAAATCTTTTGCCATTCTTAAAATACTATTGTTTTTTAGGCTTCTTTTTTTAGTTAGATGAGTTCTTTATATATACTGTAAAATCATCAGTCACAATAACTTGTAGTTCAAAAGAATCACCAGGGTTTTGGGACTCCAAAGCACTAGCACTTTTCTACATATGGCTCTTCCTAATCAAGAGGATGCCTGTATTGTAAAAGCACTTACGGGCATTTACAATACAGGCATGTAAGCCTGGCTAGTGTGGTTCAGTGGTTAATCATCAACCTATGAACCAAGAGGTCACGGTTCCTGGCTCAATGTGGGGCTGTGCAGGAGGCAACCAATCAATGATTCTCTCTCATCATTGATGTTTCTATCTCTCTCTCTTTCTCCCTTTCTCACTGAAATCAATAAAAATACATTTTTAAATACAAAAATAAAATCAATACCAATTATATCTTAGCAATGGAAACCACAAAGTATGCAACAAAGCCCCACCCCAAAAAATGTTACATTGCCTTTCCTCTATTACTACAAACCTTGCCCAAACCCCATCAGTTGCATCTGAACACCCTATCCTCCCACAGAATAAAGTAGGATGATGACTTGAGTGCCAATATCTGATAGAGCCATAAAAGTTTAACTCTCTCCTCTGCCTAAAATTCCCCCAGCCTATTTAGACATGTGGGTTTGGCTTTTGATTTCCCTTTAAGAACTGGGAGACCTCAACCCAACCCCTATACATCCTTCTTTTTAAAACACCTGAACTCCAGGTGTGAGAAGAGAGAAGGGCAGGCCATAAGGGGAGATAGTTGTCTGATAGTGCATTTAATTTAAAAGTTTCAAGCACCCACATTTGCAGCTCAACTAAACAAACACTTAATATTTTCAACTCACCCAAAGCTCTCTATTCTCATTTCCCACACAATTTTCTCACCTTTGGGGACTCAATTCAGCCTCTGCAGCCACATTGTCTTTCAACTGAAGCCATGGAAATGAGTGTACAACAGCCAAAGCACCATTAGGGCCATCTCTCAGCTCAGCCCCTAAATGTTCATTAAGAGGGAGAACACTGGAGGACTCTTATTCTTCCCTGCCCCTGTCACCCTTCCCCACCACTTGGGTAAGAATATTCAATATCCAGCCGAAACTGGTTTGGCTCAGTGGATAGAGCATCAGCCTGTGTACTGAAGGATCCCAGGTTCGATTTAGGTCAAGGGCATGTACCTTGGTTGAGGGCACATCCCCAGTAGGGGGTGTGTAAGAGGCAGCTTGTGTGCAAGAGGCAACATTCTCTCTCATCGATGTTTCTAACTCTCTATCCCTCTCTCTTCCTCTCTGTAAAAAATCAATAAAATATATTAAAAGAGAGAATTAGTCTTAAAAAAAAATCCAATATCCAGAGTCTTGTCCTACCCTCTAACACAGCCCTCATCTTTTCTCTTTCAGAAAGCCATGTCTGTCAGCACTTCATCCTCAAGATCAAAACTGTCAAGAACTGTGAGGAATTTGAAATTTTTGACCCTCCAAGCAAGCTACCAAAGTAGCCCATTACTGTTCTTGGATACTGGCAGACCACACAGCAGTCCTTAGGTCAGATACGCAGGACTTACTACTCACAGCACAGCAACGAACATTAGCACCATGTGTGTATCAGTTCCTTCACTGCCCAAGTGCCACAGAGTAGACGTGAAGATACGGTGCTGTCAGGGGGCTTGTATCCCATCTGAAGATATTACTGACTTCTATTTGCTAATATTTTATTAACCATTTCTGTTTACACTCATGGGGGATATTGTTAAGTTTTTTTTTTTTATTGTAGTGACTATCTGGGGATAATGCTACCCTAATAAAATGAGCTAGGACATGTTGTCTCCTCTTCAATTTTCAGAACAAGTCTTCCTGAAATGTGCTAAAATTCACCAATAAAGCTTTCTAAACATAAATTTTTCTTTGTGGGAAAGTTTTTAACTATAAATTCAATTTCTTCAATAAGTGTAAGGTTATTCAAGTTTTCTCTTTCTTCTGGAGTAACTTGATATTTGAAAGTTTGTGTCCTTCAAGTAAAATTTTCATTTCCTCTAAGTTGTTGAACTTATTAGCATAAATTTATACATAATATTATTTTTTTAATATATTTTATCGATTCTTTACAGAGAGGAAGGGGGAGAGATAGCTAGAAACGTGATGAGAGAGAAACATCGACCAGCTGCCTCTTGCACACCCCTTATCGGGGATGTGCCCGCAACCAATGTACATGCCCTAGACCGGAATCGAACCTGAGACCCTT